GCCTATGCACCAAAGACAAATTCCTTGTGTGTCCAATCACACTTGGCCAATAAAGAATTCTGTTCTATTCTATTCTTTAGATAGATTTTTTACTCCAAAAGCATTTTATTAAAATAAATTTGATAGAAATAAAAAAAATCTGATTTAAATTTTTAAAAGAGCCTTGCTGGTACAGTGGTCTAAGCACCCTGTTATTAAGACCAGCTGCCTGCAATTTACTGCAGGTTCGAATCTCTCCAAGGCTCAAGGTTGACTCAGCCTTCCATCCTTTCTAAGGTAGGTGAAATGAGGACCCAGTTTGTGGGGGCAATAAGCTGACTTTGTATAAATATACAAAAGTATGAAGGCTATTGCCTAACGCATTGTAAGCCGCCCTGAGTCTCCGGAGAAGGGCGGCATATAAATCAAATTAAAAAAAAAAATACGTTTTTTTTTTAATTTTTTAAAAAAATTCATCCATTTTTATCCACCCTGGATTAGTGCATTTGGGCTCTTGAGCTAAAGAGATTTGCAAAGCTGCCCTTTCCATCCTTATTTCTCTTCTGCTGACTCTGAAAAAGTCTTAGCCATTCATGCCAGAGATGGGTTGGACCTCTGGCCTTGATGTCTGGCCTAAGGGTTACTCACCGCTCTTTCTGCTCCAAACGTTGGAAGTGGACTCTGCCCCCATTTGCATGAAGATGGAGCAGCTGCAGAGAGCCAATCAGATCCAGATTCTCAGGGTGGTGTGCCATCTGCCCCTCCCCCTCCCTTGGGCAGCCAGGGCAGGAGAAGCAGTGCGCTTTCCATCTTCTGGGATAGCAACATGGCTCCTCCTCCTATTTCGCCCCGACCAGCTCTTTCAACCTTCGTTACCCCACCTGCCTTCATCTCAGGAGCTGTTGAAGTCCTGCAGCTGATAGCAAAGCAAGCTAGAAAACTGCATCCAGTTTTGGTCACCACACTATAAAAAAAGAGGTTGAGACTCTAGAAAAAGTGCAGAGAAGAGCAACCAGGATAATTAGGGAGACTAAAACATATGTGTCAGTTTGGAAGTTCATTTATTTTGAGAGAGCATCAAAACTTGACAATATGAAGAACAGTTGCAGGAACCGGGCATGGCTAGTCTAGTGAAGAGAAGGACCAGGGGAGACAGGATAGCATCTTCCAATATTTGAGGGGCTGCCACAGGGAGGAGGGGGTTGAGCTATTTTCCTAAGCACCCAAAGGCCAGACAAGGAACAATGCATGGGAACTGATCAAAGAGAGATTCAACCTGGAAATAAGGAGGAATTTTCTGACAGTGAGAACAATCCATCAGTGGAACAAAAGTTGCCTTCAGAAGTTGTGGGAGCTTCATCACTGGAAGCTTTCAAGAAGAGACTGGACTGCCATCGGTCAGAAATGGTGTAGGGTCTCCTGCTTGGGAGGGGGTTGGACTAGATGACCTACAAGGTCCCTCCCAGGATGGATAAAAATCAATGATTTTTTTAAAAAAATAAAAAAAATCAGATTTTTTTTATTTAAATCGGATTTTTTTTTATTTAAATCGGATTTTTTTTTATTTTTATCGAATTTATTTTAATAAAAAACTTGTGGGGTAAAAATCTATCGTAAGATCGTTTTCTATTTAAGATACATAAATAATTTAGTTTATTCAGCATGAAATGGAGCTTAGTTATGTAGCAGGAGGCTGTATATTCTGCAACACTGGGACTATCGGTGAGTCAACAGTGGGTCAAAGGAGTAGCAGAGATGACAGTTGCTCTTTAAAAATTATGATTTAAATCGAGTTGATTTAAATCAAGCCTTTTTACTAGGGATTTAAATCATGTTTTAAATTGTGATTTAAATCAACTCGATTTAAATCAAATCCACCCTGGTCCCTCCCAACTCTGTTAATCTGTATCTGTATCTAAACTGGGACTTGTAGTTTAGCAATGATTCCCCTTTCACTGAACAAAGGTTCAAAGTTACAACAGTGCTAAGAAAAGAACCTAACAACCTGTAGTTACACTTACAACTTTCACATCACGCCACACTGGTGTGATTACAATTTGAGCACTTGGCAGCCGGCTCCTCTTTATGACAGGTTTCAACATCCTGCAGTCACCTGATCACATTTTGTGATCTTTTTTTGGCCAAGTTCTGGCAAAAAAACACCGTTTGGGGGAAGCTGGATTTCTTTAAGAACTTCGTGATTTGCTTACCATGAAATTTGTCCTAAAATTGAATGTGACTCGACTTACAATTATAATGATTTAAGAGTGGAAATTCCGGTCACAATTATAATCATAAGTCAAGGACTAATTAGCAGATCTTGGTGGTTTTTAGCAATGCCAGACAGTGCTGGGACTACAGTTCCTACTCATGTGGGCAACGGCTGGGAATTCTAGGTGTGGTAGTTTCTCTAGGAAGTTTGGGTTTTTACAAACCAGGAGTGGAAGTTTCAGTCTGAAGTGAGCTTGTTGATCAGAAAAGTTGGCAGTTCAGTGGTTCGAATCCCTAGTACAGGTCTCTTGCGTGAGCAGGGGGTTGGACTAGATGACCTCCAAGGTTCCTTCCATCTCTGTTACTGGGCTTGCTGTCTTTTTATAAGTGTAAAAGGCTCAGAAGGCACCCTTTGCCTCTTACCTTTCTGTAAAATTTAACCAAGATACATTTTTATCTTGCCAATTCTAGCTGCCCTATTCTGGTCTTAATTCCCATGCAGGCAGAACCATCAGAGATCTGCAGGTGGGACCATCGGTTGGCATCACTAACTTGGGGATTTGGAAAGGGCCACCCCTCCCCCATCTCCATCTGCCTCTTCATCCAGCCCAGGAGAGGTGAAAGTTGGGCAGTCCTTTGTCCAGGATGATCTTCTTGGGTTGGTAGTAGTCTAGATGACCTCCAAGATCCCATGATTCCCATTGTCCTGAGCTGCAGATAATAACACAGAATAATACCATGTTTCCCCCAAAAGTAAAACTGTGTCTTATTTTAATTTTTGCTCCAAAAGACGCATGACGGCTTATTTTCCGGTTAGGTCTTATTTTGGGGGAAATACAGTAACTAAGCACTTCTGTCTGGTTGACGATCTTAACTGGGGCTTATTTTGGGGGTAGAGCTTATATTACGAGCATTCGAAAAATCATGCTAGGGCTTATTTTCCGGTTGGGTCTTATTTTCGGAGAAACAGGATAAGATTGGAAAGGATCTTGGAGACCTTCTAATTCAATCCCCTATCCATGGCAGGAGATTCTGTCCCATTTCAGACAAATGGCTGTCTAGGGTCTTCTTAAAGGCCTCCAGTGTTGGAGCACGTACAACTTCTAGAGGCCATTCCACTAATTAAATGTTCCCACTGTCCGGAATTTTTTTCCTTAGTTCTAGGTTGCTTTCTTCTCTCCTTGATAAGTTTCCATCTGTTACTTCTTGTCCTACCCTCAGGTGCTTTGGAAATTAGGTTGAAATCCCCCCCTCTTCTTCTTTGTGGCAGCCCCTGAGATATTGGAATATTGCTATCATGTCACCCCTAGTCCTTCTTTTCATCAAACTAGACCAGAGGTCTGCAACCTTAAATACTCAAAAGAGCCATTTGGACCCCTTTCCCACAGAAAAGAAAACACCGGGAGCCACAAAACCTGGGTGGGTGTGGCCAACTCGATGTCACTCACTTCCATCAGTCACATGACCAACCCCTAGCCACACCTACCCAGCCGGTCATTAGGGCAGAGAATCAGTTGTTAAAAAACACCGGGAACCACAAAATTCTTTTAACATATCTCTGTCTCCCCTCCCTCTCTCTCCCCCCCTCTCCCTCTCTCTCTGTATCTCTCCCCCCCTCTCCCACTCTCTCTGTATCTCTCCCCCCCTCTCCCTCTCTCTCTGTATCTCGCTGTCTCTGCCCTGGTCGCTTCTCCATCCCCCACCATCACCCTTTCCTTCTCAGGCCAGGCGAGGAGTGACTGGGAGGGGAGGGCCAGCCAATGGTGGGATCACCTGACAGGGAGCCACAGCAGAGGGCCCAAAGAGCCGCATGCGGCTCCAGAGCTGCAGGTTGCTGACCCCTGAATAGACATTCCCAATTCCTGCAACCGTTCTTCATGTGTTTTAGGTTCGAGGGAGAGGGAGGGAGGAGGAGGAGGGAGGGAGGGAGAGGGAGGGAGGGAGGGAGGGAGGGAGAGGCAGCAAAGGGATGCAGGCAGCTGTGATGTCAAGACGAGAGTGACACTGAAGGACTTTGCCCAGCCATAGTCTTGGTTGAAATACCTGAGTCATTTTCATGGATATTTTACCTTCTTGCCTCATCCAGAAAGCCGTTGATGGAGGTGACTGGAAGGGCGGAAAAGAGAGAAACCTGTTTTTCCAGCTGGGGGGCTGAAAGCAGGAAAAGTCAGGCAGTTCCTAGCCCTCTTTAATACCTCACCAAAAAGAGGTTTCACCATTTTTAAGTAGCCAGAATTTCGGGTTTAATGTGCGAAGAAAATATTGTATGCAGGCAAGTGGGAAGAGAATTGGGGGGAAAATGTGGTTTTTGTTGAGGAACAGCTTCGGGCAGGGTGGATTTGATTTAAATCGAGTTGATTTAAATCACAATTTAAATCATGATTTAAATCCCTAGTAAAAAGGCTTGATTTAAATCAACTCGATTTAAATCATAATTTTTAAAGAGCAACTGTCATCTCTGCTACTCCTTTGACCCTCTGTTGACTCACCGATAGTCCCAGTGTTGCAGAATATACAGCCTCGTGCTACATAACTAAGCTCCATTTCATGCTGAATAAACTAAATTATTTATGTATCTTAAATAGAAAACTATCTTACGATAGATTTTTACCCCAAAAGTTTTTTATTAAAATAAATTCGATAAAAATCAAAAAACCTGATTTAAATAAAAAAAATCTGTTTTTTTTATTTTTTTTAAAAAAAAATCATTGATTTTTATCCATCCTGGCTTCGGGCCATCTTTGACTTCACCTCTCTGGAAAGGCCAGCTGTCTCATCCCTCACTTTTGCTTGTTGTTGTTTTTTTTTAGGCTCATTAAAAACGTGGTTCGCACCTTCAAGTACGTCTACGGCCTGAGGTTTGAAGTGAAGGGTCTGGAGCACTTTGAGATCGAAGGTCCCTGTGTCATCGTTTCAAACCACCAGAGCATCCTGGACATGATAGGTAGGGGTTTGGGGTTCCATGGGTCACAGCGGGAGGGCTGATCTTAGAGGGTTCAGCCGGTCACCGAAGGAGGAGATCCTCTTGACCTTGGCTTCTACAGCCACTGAAAAGGTGTCGGGCACGAAGAATTGTGTGGGAGTGGGACAACTTGCCATGGCCAATTCGTTGCGGCCAACTCACCGCAGCCAACTCACCACGAGACAATTCATTGCAGGACAATTTAACAATTTTATTTAATTACTTAAAAGAAATAAAAATTATTTTAACGTTTGCCATTCACAATTCATTCTGTCCCTCTTTTTGTATCCTTTCTTCGGTGATTCTATTCTACCATTTCTTTGATATTAGTGTAACTCTTGTCCTGCAGTTGAGTTGGCCATGGCAAGTTGGCCGTGGCGAATTGTCACAGACCCAAGAATTGTACATGTTAATCTACACGTTAATTTCCAATTAAGATTTGTGGCTCATGCTTACACACAAGAATCTAGCCAACTAGCCATCAGCACTAAATTGGTGCTAAGTAAGGGTCAACGGAATTCACAGGAAGTAGGCTTGGATTGCTTGTGGCAATGTAAGCACTCCAGACTTATTGCTCACTTGACTCTGCCCCTTCTTTTCCTGCAGGCGTAGATAGACCAGGAGGAGCCATTCCCATTTCATGGCCTTTGCTTGAGATTTAAGGGAAAGGGAGAAGCAACTGAAAACAGGCTCTTCACACCCAGCCCCAGTCTTTTTAATCAAGATAGAACATCACATGTATAGCCAGGTTTGCTAAAAACCTAAGTAGTATATTTGCACAATATACCAAACTTGGCTAGATTAAACCTGTCTGGCTGCCTGTCTCTCTTCCGTTCATTGACTAATTATGCAACTCATGTATGTTTGGAATAATAATATTTCTACTTGGTTGCACACAAGTCAGCCAGATACTCGGACCAGAATTGGCATTATTATTATTTACAAAAACAAACAAAGAAGAAAAACAGACACAGCTCTTTTACTAACATCTGTCAAGTTTCGAGGTCGTCTCAAATGAATTGCATTTCAAACAAAGTCTTTGATAAAAATTCCCATTTATTGAGCACGATATTCTAAATCCGACTCATCGTAGCCAACACTGACTTCCAGACCCAAACCCCTCCCTTTCCATTCCCTACTCCCCTGCACTCATTGGCCATCATCCAAGTCATTCAACCCCTAATCTACTCCTCCAGCTCAAAGGAATTTCCCCCCTCCCATCCCATCTCCTAGGGGATATTATCTCCAGGGAAAATAAGTAGATGAAAAGTCAAACATTCCTTTCCAGACGCCTCCGCTTCTCCTTCTTATGTCAGCACTAGAGTAAATGCAGCTTGAAGTGCTGGCAACATCATCATGTCTGCTGTAAAAATTCCAAATAACAAGGATTAACATCTACATATTAAAATCCCTTATATCAGTTTGAAAATCTAAGTTTTGGAGTGAATCATTGTTAACAAGTGATTATGGTTAATAACTATGAAGACTATGACTCAGGTTATAAATTAGGAGCCGGGATAAAATATAATTTCTGCCTGATGTAAAAAAAAAAAAAAAATGGGTACGGTATTATAATCATATGTTAGAAAGAATATTTGGATGTGGTAGGAACCCGTTTTTAAGATTATAATCCAGAAATGGTTTCTAATTAATTCCAGATTGATGTTTCAGATGGGAAAGTATGTTTGACATGGAAAAAAAGTTTGCCATTTTTCTATGAAAGAGACAGGAAGTTTCCATGAGAAACAAAGAATGCTTGCCAGCTCTGTACCCTGGATAGACAATTCATTAATGTTTAATTAATAATAATAGTTCGTTAAAATTAGACTTGTCAGGGGTAAGAAATCAGGAAATCAGGTGATTCTAAGGACTACGGGTGTATTGCAGAATTATTATTATTTTATTTATTTTTTTTTAATTTGATTTATATGCCGCCCTTCTCCGGAGACTCAGGGCGGCTTACAATGCGTTAAGCAATAGCCTTCATACTTTTGTATATTTATACAAAGTCAGCTTATTGCCCCCACAAACTGGGTCCTCATTTAACCTACCTTAGAAAGGATGGAAGGCTGAGTCAACCTTGAGCCTTGGAGAGATTCGAACCAGCAGTAATTGCAGGCAGCTGTGTTAATAACAGGGTGCTTTAAACCACTGTAGTACCAAGGCTCTTTATTTATTTATTTATTAAATTTTTATACCTCCCCCTCTCCCGAAGGACTCGGGGCGGTGAACAGCCAGAATTAAAAACACACAATACAAATATTAAAATACATTAAAACGAAATTAAATTATCTTTGGTTTCTCCAATTTAAAACCCCTTACCCATGAAATTCCCCAATTAAAAAAAAATATTTATAAATAACAGATGATTTATAGTTTGATAGATTATTTAATCACTTGTGAAATAGATGATTGATAGAAGATGGATAGATGGATGGATGGATGGATGGATTGAAAGTGTGTTGGGGCTGCTTCATGGCACTTTCCGAAAGGCCCTGAAGATTTATTTATTCCAACAAGCTGGCCTAGCTTAAAATGATTTTAATGGGGTTTTAAAATTTTCGATTTTATTGATTCTGGGTTTTAAATTGGGAACTTTTCGATTTTGCAGATCTGGGATTTTAAATTGGAAATGCCGATGATTTAATTTATTTTAGTTTTTTCTTAACTTTTGTACTATATGTGTTTTAAGTTTGGCTGTCCACCGCCCTGAGTCCACCTGGGGAGAAGGGCGGTATACAAGTTGAATTAAAATAAATAAATAAATAGGCTGTGACCCGTGTAAATGGGTTATTAGTCAGACCAGGTGCATGATATGAATGGGTGGGAATCTCCTTCCTAATTCAATGGGGGGGGTCCCTGCTTGGTCCTGCCTCCTGTCCCACCACAGCCCGGCCTTTGAGACCCCCTCCCTGCCCCGAGCTGTGAAATGCAGCTGAGAGACTCTTTAATTTCCCCAGAGACCATAAAATCCTGACTCGGGTTTCAACACTACAGAATAAGGGTCCATCTTTTTTTTTTTTTTTAATTTGATTTATATGCCGCCCTTCTCCGGAGACTCAGGGCGGCTTACAAGGCGTTAAGCAATAGCCTTCATCCTTTTGTATATTTATACAAAGTCAGCTTATTGCCCCCACAAACTGGGTCCTCATTTCACCTACCTTAGAAAGGATGGAAGGCTGAGTCAACCTTGAGCCTTGGAGAGATTCGAACCCTGCAGTAATTGCAGGCAGCTGGTCTTAATAAGCTTAATAACAGGGTGCCTTAAACCCCTGTACTACCAAGGCTCTTTACCTGCCCATCTTTACTTGCCTTCGAGGCAGACTTAAGTTGGGGTTACCCAGCCCAAACGGGACGTTCCTCTGGGTCTCTGCCAGTCACGATCGGCAAAGACAGGGAGAGGGACGCTTGGCGGGATTTTTCCCCCGATTTCAGAGGCAGCTATTCACGCCTCTTCCTCCTGCTTTTTGCCATCCACAGGGCTGATGGAAATCCTTCCGGAGCGCTGCGTCCAGATTGCCAAAAGGGAGCTGCTGTACTTCGGGCCGGTGGGGCTGGTCATCTACCTGGGCGGGATCATCTTCATCAATCGGAAGAGCACCGGCAACGCCAAGTCTGTGATGTCCGGAGTCGGCCAGATCATGACCAGCGAGAACGTGAGTGCGTGGAGACTGAGAGGGCAGCTGCAGCCCCCTGGCCTGGTCCCTCTGGAAGGAGACCCCGGCCACAGAGCTTGGATGCTGGACGAGGCAAAACAGGGCTGGGTGTCAGATATCTTGAGAATAGAATAGAATAGAATAGAATAGAATAGAATAGAATAGAATAGAATAGAATAGAATAGAATAGAATAGAATAGAATAGAGGGAGGGGAGGGGAGGGGAGGGAGGGGAGGGGAGGGGAGGAGAGGAGAAGAAGAGAGAAGAGAAGAAAGAGAAGAGAAGAAGAGAGAAGAGATTTTCGTATCCATTTCATGTATTCATAATCATGTTTATACTTTTAGGAAATAGAATAGGATATGAAATAGAAAATGGAATGGAATGGAATGGAATGGAATGGAATGGAATGGAATGGAAAGAATAGATAGAATAGGGAGGGGAGGGGAGGGGAGGAGAGGAGAAGAAGAGAAGAGAAGAGAAGAGAAGAGGAGAGAGAAGAAGAGAGAAGAGATTTTCGTATCCATTTCATGTATTCATAATCATGTTTATACTTTTAGGAAATAGAATAGGATATGAAATAGAAAATGGAATGGAATGGAATGGAATAGAATGGAATAGATAGAATAGAATAGATAGAATAGAATAGTATAGGATAGAATAGAATAGAATAGGGGAGGGGAGGGGAGGGTGAGGGGAGGGGAGGTGGAGGGAAGAAGAGAGGAGAGAAAGAGAAGAGAAGAGAAGAAGAGAAAGAGATTTTGTATCCATTTCATGTATTCATAATCATGTTTATACTTTTAGGAAATAGAATAGGATATGAAATAGAAAATGGAATGGAATGGAATAGAATAGAATAGAATAGAATAGAATAGAATAGAATAGAATAGAATAGAATGGGGAGGGGGAGGGGAGGGGAGGGGGAGGGGAGGGGAGGGGAGGAGAGGAGAGGAGAAGAAGAGAGAGAGAAGAAAGAGAGAGAAGAGAAGAAGAGAGGAGGATTTTCGTATCCATTTCATGTATTCATAATCATGTTTATACTTTTAGGAAATAGATAGGATATGAAATAGAAAATGGAATGGAATGGAATGGAATGGAATGGAATGGAATGGAATGGAATGGAATGGAATAGAATAGAATAGAATAGAATAGAATAGAATAGAATAGAATAGAATAGAATAGAATAGAATAGAATAGAATAGAATTCTTTATTGGCCAAGTGTTTATTGGACACACAAAGAATTTCTCTTGGTGCATACGCTCTCAGAGTACATAAAGGAAAAGATACATTCGTCAAGAATCATAAGGTACAACACTTAATGATAGTCATAGGGAACAAATAAGCAATCAAACTATATTAGGAAAGTCAATATAAATCGTAAGGATACCAGCAACAAGGTTACAGTCATACAGTCATAAATGGGAGGAGATGGGTGATAGGAACAATGAGAAAATTAATAGTAATGCAGATTTAGTGAATAGTTTGATAGTGTTGAGGGAATTATTTGTTTAGCAGAGTGATGGCGTTCGGGAAAAAACCTGTCCTGGTGTCTAGTTGTTCTGGTGTGCAATGCTCTATAGCGTCGTTTTGAGGGTAGGAGTTGAAACAGTTTATGTCCAGGATGTGAGGGGTCTGTAGATATTTTCCAGCCCTCTTTTTGACTCCTGCAGCTACAGGTCCTCCATGGAAGGCAGGTTGGTAGTAACTGAGCCTTTGTTTTGACACAGGGTTTGTGAAGCCACTATTTGGAGCTCTCGCCTCACAGTTGAATAGAATAGAATAGAATAGAATAGAATAGAATAGAATAGAATAGAATAGAATAGAATAGAATAGAATAGAATAGAATTCTTTATTGGCCAAGTGTTTATTGGACACACAAAGAATTTCTCTTGGTGCATACGCTCTCAGAGTACATAAAGGAAAAGATACATTCGTCAAGAATCATAAGGTACAACACTTAATGATAGTCATAGGGAACAAATAAGCAATCAAACTATATTAGGAAAGTCAATATAAATCGTAAGGATACCAGCAACAAGGTTACAGTCATACAGTCATAAATGGGAGGAGATGGGTGATAGGAACAATGAGAAGATTAATAGTAATGCAGATTTAGTGAATAGTTTGATAGTGTTGAGGGAATTATTTGTTTAGCAGAGTGATGGCGTTCGGGAAAAAACCTGTCCTGGTGTCTAGTTGTTCTGGTGTGCAATGCTCTATAGCGTCGTTTTGAGGGTAGGAGTTGAAACAGTTGATGTCCAGGATGTGAGGGGTCTGTAGATATTTTCACAGCCCTCTTTTTGACTCGTGCAGTCTACAGGTCCTCCATGGAAGGCAGGTTGGTAGTAACTGAGCCTTTGTTTTGACACAGGGTTTGTGAAGCCACTATTTGGAGCTCTCGCCTCACAGTTGGGAGGCTGTGTGTTCGATCCTAGGTAGAGGCAGATATTTCTCTCTCTGGGCACGTTGGGAATATATCTGCTGAACAAAACTCCGCATTGGCAACAGGAAGGGCATCAGGCCATTAAAACATTCTGCTACCTCCATTCAGTTGCCCAGACTCCACCATGCAAGGGATTATGGGGTCGTTAAAAGAAGATGTTTGTGAAGCCACCCTTGTTATACGGATAGTCCTCGACTTACAACAGTTCATTTAGTGACTGTTTGAAGTTACAACGGCACTGAAAAAAGTGACTTATGATCATTTTTCACGCTTACCACTGTTGCCACATTCCCACGGTCACGTGACCCAAATTGATACTCCTGGCAACTGACTCACATTTATGACAGTTGCAGTGTCCAGTGGTCACGTGTTCCCTTTTGCGACCTTCTGACAAGCAAAGTCAACGAGGAAGCCAGATTCTCTTTAACAACCAGGTTACTAATTTAACTATGGCAGCAATTCACTTAACAAATATGGCAAGAAATGTCGCAAAATGGGGAAAAACTCACTTAACAACTGTGTCACTTAACAGCAGAAATTTTGGGCTCAGTTGTAAGTCAAGGGCTACCTGTATTTGCTGGACAATTACAAGCTTGTTGGAAGGGAGACCACCAAAAATAGGAGTGCATGAGTTTTAACGTTTTTAAAGTTTTTAATGTTTTAATGTTTTTTTTAAACATTTTTTATGAGATTGTTTGCATTGTTCTATTCTTTGTTGTAAGCCGCCCAGAGTCCCTTGGGAGTTGGGCGGCATAGAAATGCGACAAAATAAATAAATAAATGAATAAGAAATCTCAGAACCAGGAAAATGAAACCATTCTGGAAGAAGGCAGGGCAAACAATTTCCACAATGCTGCCAAGAGTTGTTGTTGTTAGTTGCGAAGTTGTGTCCGACCAAGGCTCTTCTCCAGGGAGTCCTTCCTTCTCATTCAGTGGCCAAAGGATTTGAGTTTCCTCTTCAGGATCCGGCCTTCTAAAGAGCAGTCAGGGTTGATCTCCTCTAGGACTGACCGGTTGGATCGCCTTGCAGTCCAAGGGACTCGCAGGAGTCTTCTCCAGCACCAGAGTTCAAAGGCCTCCATTCTTTGGCGCTCAGACTTCCTTATGGTCCAACTTTCACAGCCATCCATTGCAACTGGGAAAACCATCGCCTTGACTATATGCACTTTTGCTGGCAGGGTGATGTCTCTGCTTTTTAGTAAGCTGTCTAGATTTGCCATGGCTTTCCTCCCCAGGAGCAAGCACCTTTTAATTCCTTGGCTGTAGTCCCCATCTGCAAGGGTTAGGGTGTTCCAATAACCTTGGAACACTCTAACCTTTGTGTGAATGCAACCATCTTCTATAATGATTTGCTGAAGAGGTCTTCCTTCACGATGGGGGAAAAGATGGACTTAGCATTGTGAAGGCATCTCGAAGTGGTTTTCACTAAGGAATGCAGTCACTGCTTCGTCCCAATAAGGCTGCAGATTCTAAGCAGAAGTAAATATGTCTGAGCTGAAGCAACCACACCCAGCACCTTGTCAAGACACGCCTGGTTGAGTGAATTGTTGCCCTCTAAAAAGGTGGCTGGATGTGCCCCTCCCCTCCCCAAAAGTTAAGCAAGAAAGTTAAAAGGTGGAGATGTGGCAAGATCCTTTGGCGAGATCCATATGCATTTTAAGCCCCAGACCTGCAACAGAAGGAACTGATGAAATAATAAAAAAAGTTCTTTGTTCCTTGCAAGTGTGCATTTTTAACTGTTTACTTATTTGCACTTATTTGCAAAACAAGTGGAACTTTTACGGTACCGTTGGGATTCCCATCTTGTCTATTTTAATCAGATTCATACAGCCGGGGTCTTTGGATACCGAAACAGCATCGGAGACCTCCAAGACCAGCAGATCGGACTATCAGGGCACACCAATCACCCTGCATTTCACACACACAATTTCCTTGCGCACACAGGCTTTTTACCTTGCTGATGAAGAAGCTGTCTTGCCCCACCCATACAGGCAGAACAGGGGTGGGTTCTACTTATCTTTACTACCGGTTCGCAACGGGATTGTGTGAACCAGTAGAACGACATCTGGGGCAGTGGGCGGGGCCTCCCGCCGGTTTTACTACCAGTTCTTGCGAACCGGTCCGAACCGGGGGCAACCCACCACTGACACAGAAGGAGAAAAGGCTTGTGTTTTTCTTGCTAAAATGCTTTTGACTCTTCTAAGGATACCAGATCATTAGAAAGGCAGGGCTAGATGAATCACAAGTTGGAATTAAGATTGCCGGGAGAAATATCAACCACTTCAAATATGCAGATGATGCCACTCTAATGGCAGAAAGCGAAGAGGAACTAAAGAGCCTCTGGATGCGGGTGAAGGAGGAGAGTGCAAAAGTTGGCTTGAAACTCAACATTAAGAAAACTAAGATCATGGCATCCGGCCCTCTCAATTCCTGGCAAATAGATGGGGAAGAAATGGAGGTAGTGACAGATTTTATCTTCCTGGGCTCCAAGATCCCTGCAGATGGGGACTGCAGCCAAGAAATGAAAAGACGCTTGCTCCTGGGGAGGAAAGCCATGGCAAAGTTAGACAGCATACTAAAAAGCAGAGACATCACCCTGCCAGCAAAAGTGCATATAGTCAAGGCTCTGGTTTTCCCAGTTGCAATGGATGGCTGTGAAAGTTGGACCATAAGGAAGGCTGAGCACCAAAGAATGGAGGCCTTTGAACTCTGGTGCTGGAGAAGACTCCTGCGAGTCCCTTGGACTGCAAGGCGATCCAACCGGTCAGTCCTAGAGGAGATCAACCCCGACTGCCCTTTAGAAGGCCAGATCCTGAAGAGGAAACTCAAATCCTTTGGCCACCGAATGAGAAGGAAGGACTCCCTGGAGAAGAGCCGAATGCTGGGAAAGATGGAGGGCAAAAGAAGAAGGGGACGGCAGAGAACGAGGGGGCTGGATGGAGCCACTGAAGCAGTCGGCGTGAGCTTAAATGGACTCCAGAGGATGGTAGAGGACAGCCCAACTAGGTGGCTCAGTGGCTAAGACACTGAGCTTGTCAATCAGAAAGGTCGGCAGTGCGGCAGTTCGAATCCCTAGTACAGATCTCCTGCGTGAGTAGGGGGTTGGACTAGATTACCTCCAAGGTCCCTTCTAACTCTGTTATTGTTAGGAAGGCCTGGAGTTACATTGTCCATGGGGTCACAATGGGTCAGACACGACTCTGCGACTAAAAACAACAACAACAACAACAAGGATACCAGGAGTTGTTTCCAGCTAAACTTAACCGTGAAGGGAATCAGGCAACTGACCAACTGGCAGAAGGCCAACTCGGAGGAAGCTGCTCCCAGGCTGGCTAACAGCTTCCACGTGCCTTTCCTGACCTTTGACCTGACCTGATCTGTGCCAGGGTACCACCTGTTCCTCACCTGAGCTCCCTAAGATATTTGCAAACGTTCCAGTCCAAATAACTTTGAAGAAAAAGCTAATATTTGAATGCCACCTTTCAAATACCTCAAGAGTCCTTCAGCTATTTTCTTTCCTAATCGGCTCAAACCCATCTGGCTACTTGTACAAGAGCAGCCCAGCAGATACAAAAGGTGCCATTAATTTTGCTGGCCAGGTAGAATGGGATCAGCTGATTTTAGAGCACTTTAAATTTATGGTTTCCCAGAAGAGCTTCAGATTTTCTCCCCGTTCTCAATAATTTGAGAGACCAAAGTGGAAGTTAGACCATAAAACACAGAATCATAGCATTGGAATTTGGAAGTCTTCCAGCCCAATGCCTCGCCCATAGCAGGAGATTTTATATCATTTCACACAGGTAGGTTGTACAGGTAGTCCTCTACTTAAGACCACAATGGAGCCCAAAATTTCTGTTGCTAAGTGGGACATTTGTTAAGTGACTTTTGCCCTGTTTTACGACCTTTCTTGCCACTGTTGTTAAGTGAATCACTGCAGTTGTTAAGTGAGTAGCATGGTTGTTAAATGAATCTGGCTTCCCCATGGACTTTGCTTCTCAGAAGGTCACAAAAGGTGGATCACATGACCCCTCGGACAATGCAACCGTCGTAAATATGAGTCGGTCGCCAAACATCTGAATTCTGATCACCTGACCATGGCGATGCGGCAATGAATGTAAGTTTGAAAAATGGCCATAAGTCACTTTTTTCAATGCCGTTGTAAACTTTGAATCATCATTAAACGAACTGTTGTAAGTCAAGGACTTACCTGTGCAGCCTTCCAGGTTTAAAAAAACAAACAAACCACAGTGCAATTTCTTTTTATAATTTTACTGTAACAAAGCCACAAGGGAGCGCAGGTACAGATAGTGTTCTGCCCCAGCTATGGACCCCAAAGAACGCAGCACACACAAAGTCCATTCAAACCTTAGTTTATTAAATAAAACAGCCTTTAACAACAACGGCTGTTAATTAACTGCATTAACAGCTGCCAAGAATTCAAAGAATAATAACTGAAAGCTTACTATGGTTGGCAGAATGCCCAGAAGCAATTTGCAGGAAGCTGATAAGATAAGCAAGACAAGACACGAAGGTATGTGAACTAAGTTGTTCCCTGCAAATTGCTTCAGTGGGCATTCCTCCTTAAATAGGCTAAGGGAGTGGCCAATTAGCCCCAAGCCTTACTCTCGAGGAGACCTCCTCCTGAGGAGCCACTCCTGCCTTTTGGCAGCTCTGCGCACCCATGCATCGAGAAGAGACTCCTCCTCTTCTTCCTCTTCACTTATGGGAGCTTCTGGAGGTTCTGAAGGCCCTGGCTGAATCCCCACCTCTGGCACCACATCTTCTCCAGCCTCCTCATTGTCCGACTCGAGCGCCGTTTGCACAGGCTGCTGGCACAGCACCACACCAGCCTCCTCGCTGTCAGAGTCAGCTACCAGCTGCACAGGCTGCTGACGGGCCACAACAGATAGTCCTTGAGTTACAACTGTGTAACAACCAATATAAAGTTACAACTTGTCCTCAGAATTAATGGGATCAAAATTTGGTAACGATTGGTAACTGGCATGCATTTATGGCAGTTGCAAAGTCCTGGGGGCAGGGGTTGTATCACATGATCGTCATTTGTGACCTTCACAACCAGTTTTGGACAAGCGAAGCCACTGGGGGAAGGTGGATTCCCTTTAATGACCATGTGATTCAGTTAAGAACCGTGCAAAAAAGGTTGTAAAATTAGGCATGACTCATTTAAACACCGGTTGCTTAGCAGTCGGAAGTTTCGATCTCCGTTTTGGTCATAAGTCAAGGATAAGCTGAAAGTATTTTATGACAGTGCTAATATACTATCAGTATGTAAAGAAGAATAAAATTCTGGAACGTTATGTCATCAATGAAACTTTTCCAAGAAATGTGACCCAAATCGCCCTCTTGAACTGAGGTGGGTGCAGCAAAATAAAATGTGGTCTTATCGCATAGCATTTAGAAAGCTTTTATATTTGTGGCTTGGACTTGTGCCAGCTACCTAGATGCAACTCCTTTTACTAAATCAGTTAATCTTTTGCAATAAAAACTGGGTCAGGTCATCTTCAAGAATTTATTCTACATTGAGGCTTTCTCACTTCTATGCCAGTTCTGTGAGACATGTGACCTAAGGAATCAGTGGTGAAATGTAAAATTCGTTACTACCGGTTCTGTGGGCGTGGCTTGGTGGTGGTGAGGTAATGTGACTGGGTGGGCGTACCAAAAGCGGGGGGAGCGCGGGGGGGGTCACACCCACGTGTGCCCAAACCCATAATTCTATGTGCCCTGCCCCTTGCCAATGCGGGCATGACCCCCCCCCACGCTCCCCACGCTTTTGGTACACAATGGCACAGTGGGCCAGGTAGGCCTGTTTTTCGCCCTCCCCAGGCTCCAGAGGCTTTCTAGGAGCCTGGGGAGGGTGAAAACGGCCTTCCCCCACCCCCCCGGAGGCCCTCCGGAGGCCGAAAACAGCCCATTTCCCAACTTCCAGTGGGCCTGGAAGGCCCGAAAATCAGCTGGCTGGCACGTACATACATGCTGGAATTGAGTTAGGGCAACGCTTGTGTGCCCACAGATATGACTTCCACATGCCACAGGTTCGCATCACAGGTCTAGACAGTCACTTAACTAAAATGGTATAGGTTCTCCTGCTTGAGCAGGGGGCTGGACTTTAAGACCTCCAAGGTCCCTTCCAGCTCATTCTATTCTAAGTAAGTTCTAAGTAAGTTTGGTTCAAATCTGCTCTTCTTCCCACACCTGAAAGTGTGCCAGGGCAACAGCACCCCCTTCTGGCAGTTGATATGATGCACGCAGCCGGGGTCAGACTGCATTTTCTCACTGACTCCATCCAGCCAAAGAGAAAAATTTACTTCAGAGCTGTCTTTCTCAAACAGGACAACTTTAAGGCTTGTGGACACTTCAACTCTCAGAATTCCCCAGCCAGCGTCCTAATCAAATGTCATCTTGCTTATCTTTTTTCAAGGTAAGCCAGGATCAACTAGAGGATGCCACCAGCCGTAGATATTGTGAAAACAAAATTTGACACTTTCTTGTTCAAACAATGTCCTGGAGGTGGCAAAATTAATTCTAAAGTTTAAACAGCCTCAAAAGTTATTTGAATTCACTGCCAAATCAAATCAGATCAAGATATTGCTGGAGGTTTTCAAAAATAGGGTTGGGCTAGAAGACCTCCGCAGTCCCTTTCCAGATCTAGGATTCTATGAATCTCATGTTAGCTGAAAATCAATAGAAATTCTGCAAAATTGTTTTTTAAGTGTTTCGTTTTAAAAGTCCTGAGGCGGAAGAGATTTACCTTTTTAAAAGACGCAACTTTCCATAAGTAAGAAATGTGCTTTTCAAACACTATCTTTGAATGCTGTAGCAGCCAAAACTTATCTTTTGAAAGATCTGCCTCTCTTTTCTAGGTTGAACTGTGAGGTCCTCTCTGCTCCCTGAGCTTGCGAGTGCTAGCAAGTGTAGGGTTTGCTCTCTGTTTATGTACTAATGGCCTGCTTTGCTGTTAGATTTTCAACCAGTGCAACTGAGTTTCTAGTTTTCTGCAGTTTTTGCGCCGGGAGGAACTTTTCCCCCTTCAGAAAATGCAGCAGAAATCTTGGAATGGAGTGGAAGAAGGAGGACATTTTCTTTTGGTGGTATTTCTGAAATCTTGACCAGGGGAGGATGGGTAGCTGCTCAGATTTCAAGGGCTGTTTTTGGCTCAGAGGGTTTAGGAGCCTCACAGCCAGGGGAACCTGTCACAAAACTGAATGTGTGCCACACATACACACCAAGTACTAAAGTCTGTCTGTCCTTTTGCTTGCAGCTCAAGATCTGGATTTACCCAGAGGGAACAAGGAACATGAATGGAGACCTTCTGCCGTTTAAGAAGGGGGCTTTTCATCTCGCAGTCCAGAGCCAGGTGAGGGACGCTTCTTTGCAGAAGTGACTTGCGCCCCATGGATTGAAATAGGATTATTTATAACTATGATTATTTATATCCTGCCTTTTTTTTTTTAATAAATAACTCAAGTTGGCAAACATTACATAGCGCAGGTAGTCCTCGACTTACAGTTTGTTTAGTGATCATTCGGAGTTAACAATGGTACTGCAGAAAGGGACTTGTGGCCATTTTTTTTAAAAAAAATTATTGATTAAAAATATACAAACAAACAAATACATTAAAACGACATACAAAACAAACAAACAACAATTCAGTCTTGCGACTGACTCTTATAGCTATCACATCGGTGGGTTATTTTTCTATTTTTCTTATCTTTCTCTATAGCTATCTATATTTACATATTTACATATTTATATATAAAACATTATAGTCCGCTCTTTGTTTAGTTCTTTACATTTCCAATTAGGTACTCAAAGTTATTTTTATGTTCCTATCTTTTCCTCCAGCCAGCTATACCATCTTTGCCACACTAAATAGTAATCAGTATCATCTTTCTCTTGTAGTTCCTTTGTAAGCCTATCCATTTCTGCGCATTCTGTAATTTTTGCTATTATTTTGTTTTCTGTCGGTAATTGCTCAGATTTCCAATTTTGGGCAAAGAGTATGCGTGCTGCTGTTAAGATATGAATAATTAAGTATTTTATTTCTTTGGTATATTGTGCTGTAATTATTCCCAATAGAAAGATTTCCGGCCTCATTTCCAACTTCTGTTTTATAATTTCTTCAATGACCCCATGGCCACTTGATCAAAATCCAAATACTTGGCAACTGACTCATACTTATGACCGTCGCTGTGTCCCAAGGTCACGCAATCCCCTTTTGAGACTTTCCGACAAGCAAAGTCAAGGGGAAGCCAGGTTCGCTTCACAACCTACTAACTCAACAGCTGCAGTGATTCACTTACCGTAACAACTGTGGCAAGAAAGATCGTGAAATGGGGGAAAGCTCATTTAACAACGGTCTTGCTTAGCAACAAAGTTGGGGTTCCATTGTGGTCGTACGTTGAGGACTATCTGTACTCCTTTTCAAAATCTTCAAATCTTTCTAGAAAAAGTGGAAGCAAAATGCAAACTCAAGAGGGAAGATTAAGGCAAAGAATTAAATAGCAGCAGCAGCAAGAACGGGGGTCAGGGATGGCCTTGAGAAGTCAGAAGGTTCCAGAACGGATAAATGACAGGTGGGAAAAAGGAGATTCACAGATTAACCACCATGTGCAAAAACAATCTTTTGGGGCCCTGGATGAACTCATAAAAAGATTGAGCTTCAAAGCTTCTCTCTAGTTATGATGAATGGCTGCGAGGCATGAATTCCGTGCAAGAGCAAGAGGAAAAGATTAATTTTGGTGAATTGTGGTGAAAAAGACGTTGAGACTTTGGAAAAAGTGCAGAGAAGAGCAACTAAGATGATCAAAGGCCTGGAGACTAAACCATATGAAGATCGGCTGCAGGATTTGGGTCTGGCTAGTCTAGGGAAGAGAAGAATTAGGGAGTGACATGATATAAGTATTCCGGTATTTGAGGGGCTGCCACAAAGAAGAGGAGGTCAAATTATTCTCCAAAGCACCAGAGGGCAGAACAAGAAACAATGGATGGAAACTAATCAGAGAGAGAAGCAACCTGGAATTAAGGAGAAACTGTTGTGACCCAGGCCCAAATAGGTAATAGTCGACGCAAACAGAACAGCTGAGAATTAACTCATTCTCAGCGTAGTCCAAACTAAATCAAAACAAATTCTTTATAACACAAATTCTTCAGTCTAATCACCAACCTTGGTATAATTAGGCAAACTGCCAAAGGCTTCTCTTGGCAAAAGGTCAGAAGCAGAAGACGCCAACCAGAGATAAGTGCAGCAAGACAAGAACAAGTCTATCAACGGCCAAGAGCCATTGCTGGTCTTTTAAGCCTTATGGGAGGGGCCAAACAACTCCTGGCCTTACTCCCAAGTCGTCCTCTTTGCTGTAGCTGCTCCTGCCTTCTGGCAGCTCTTCTCATGCGTGCACTAGGAACAGGCTCCTCCTGTTCCTCTGCCTCTCTGCTGTCAGCCTCTAGAGGCTCCGAAGTCTGCACATCACTCCCAGATGGCCCTGGCCCCATCTCTGCCTCCGACGCAGAACCCTCATCCGGGCCTTCCCCAGCCTCCAGGACTGGCCCCTGTTCTACCTCAGCCTCATCGCTGTCCGACTCCGCTGCCAGCTCCGCAGGCTGTTGGCGGACCACAACAGAAACTTCCTAACAGTGAGGACAACTAACCAGTGGAACAGCTTGCCACCAGAAGTTGTGGGCACTCCACCACTGGAGGTTTTTAAGAAGAAACTAGACAGTCACTTGTCTGAAACAGTATAGGATCTCCTGCTTGAGAAGGGGGCTGGATTAGAAGACCCTAAACCTAACCCTCCCAGCTTTATTCTGATTCTGAGGAAGGAACTGACCACTAAATATACATTAATCAGGAGCTTCATCCCTGGAGACTTTCAAGAAAAGATTGGGCTGCCATTTGTCAGAAATGGTGTAGGGTCTCCTGCTTGAGCGGGAGAAGGCTGGACTAGATGACCTATAAGGTCCCTTCCAATATTAATTATTTCCTCCCAGAACATAACTTTAGGACATTGCAAAAAAAAACAAAACACACAATTGAATGCAGAGTTATTTTCAACTGCATCACGACAACATTATGATCACTTCATTCCTTTTCTTATACACACGCAGCGAGGTTCAACTTTTCGACATTTTTAATGGTGAACTCAACATCATGTTATGTTACGTAATGGTTACCCCTTGCCCCTTCTTGTGCAACTTTTTTTCCTGAACACCTGACTCTGGTCAAGTTCCCTTTTGGTTGACTTCCTTCTACAGTTCTCCGAGTTCCTCTTCTGGGCAAAATTTCTCTCTCTCTCTCTCTTTTTTTTTTTTGAATAAAGCACCATAGTAAGAAAAGTCTTAACCTTTGAGCTTCAGTCCTGATAGAAGGGAGTTTTCATTATTTTCTTCGATATTATGTAAATATGTATATTTTATGTATATAAAAAGTGAAGTCTAAGTCATCCTGGGAGTCAAAAAATGGGGATCGTTGCAAATTTAAGAACTTCCAGATTTTTGTCCCAAAGATCCCCCTTTTTTTTTCCAAGAGGCAACTGGACTTTCTGGTTTTTCTTTGAAGACATTTCGCTTCTCATCCAAGAAGCTTCTTCAGCTCCGACTGGATGGTGGGGAATGGAAGAATCTGACCAGCCAGCCAGAGCTGAAGAAGCTTCTTGGATGAGAAGCGAAATGTCTTCAAAGAAAAACCAGAAAATCCAGTTGCCTCTTTTAAAAAAAAGAGCACATTTGGGACAACCATGACCTGAATGACTGAGAATCTCTATAAACATTCCAGATTTTTCTAACTTTTTTTTTTATTATTATCTTCCCTTTGAAGGTTCCAATAATTCCTGTGGTCTATTCCTCCTTTTCTTCGTTTTACAACCCAGAAAAGAAGAAGTTTACATCAGGTAGGATAATGCACAGCTTAGAGTGTTGTTCTGTTTCTCTTTAGTGTCCTTGGAGATCCAAATTTCTCTTGCATGGCTAAAAGGAATCCAGGTTTCTGGCTTGGTGAGCATGCTCGGTTTCACTCCTAATATGCGTGGGTTCAGAGCAGCATCCCTTCCTTCCCATTTAATTTTCATTCATTTTATTGGATTTATATACCGCCCTACTCCCGAAGGACTCAGGGCGGTGAACAGCCAAAGATAAAACATCCAAATTACAAAATTTAAAAGACAATATAAAAACCCAATTAAATAGTTCGGCCCAAAACAAATTAAAACACCCCTAATGGTTTAAAACAAATTTACAATTTACAATTTAAAAGGGAAGTTAGGCCAGGCTAGCCTGGGAAAATAAAAAGGTCTTGAGGGCACGGCGGAAGGTGCGTAAATCCGGGATCCTCCGTATCTCCGGGGGGGGGGAGCTCATTCCAGATGGCAGGTGCCCCCACAGAGAAGGCTCTCCCCCTGGGGGCCGCCAGTCGACATTGTTTGGCCGATGGCACCCTGATAGAGCTTTTCAAGAAACAAATCAGATTTCTCGACTAGCAAATAGTAACAGTAACATTGGAAAGGGACCTTGGAGGTCAACTAGTCCAGCCCCCTGCTCATGCAGGAGACCTGTACTAGGGATTTGAACCGCCAAACTGCTGACCTTTCTGATCGACAAGCTCAGTGTCTTAGCCAGTGAGCCACCTAGTCAGGGTCAGAAAGAACCCTTGAGAGATTAGGGCAGTGATGGCTAACCTTTTTGCCATCGCGTGCCAAAAGCGTGGGAAAACAGAGGGGGGGTTGCGCACACACGCCCACAGCCATACTTATAGGTGTCCTGTCCCCCACGCATGTGCGCATGCCCCCCTATGCTCCCCCTGCTTCTGGCACGTGATAGCACGATGGGCCTAGTAGGCTCGTTTTTTTGCTCTCCCCAGGCTCCAGAGCCTCTCCAGGAGCCTGGGGAGGGCAAAAACGGCCTTCCCCACCTGCCCAGAGGCCCTCCAGAGGCCAGAAACAGCCTGTTTCCCTACTTCTGGTGGGCCCAGAAGGCCCGAAAATCAACTGGCTGGCACACGCATGCCCGCCGGAGCTGAGTTCACATGCCCACTGATATGGCTCCATGTGCCACAGGTTCGCGATCACGGGATTAGGGTTTCCCACGGTCCTGGTTTCACTGCCTTTTGGCCAATTCTCGGCTCTCCCAAAATCTATTTCTCTGGAAGCCCCACCCTCTCCCAGTCAAAGCAATAAAGTGAGGCTCTATAACACCTTCCAGGCAAGCAGCTCATCAATAGAGGGTCTGCGACTTAAGTCACCCCTGCCAATTTGCTGCAGCCAACTCATCATGTAGAACTTGTTGCGGGACAAGAGTTACCCTAATATTGAAGAAATAGTGGAATAGAATCCTTTAAGGAAGGATGCCAAAGGAGGGACAAAATGAAATGTGAATGACAAAAATTAAAACAATGTTTTCATTATTTTTAAGTAAGTAAGTTGAATTGTTGAATTGTCCTGCAGCGAGTTGATTGCAGTGAGTGGTCCCATTCTGTTGTGAGAACCCAAAAGAACAATGAGGGAAATTAATCGGGAGAAACATAAGGTCAAGACAGAGGATGGGTTTGAGGGTTGGGCCATGTGTTGGGTGAGTGGAGAAGTTGCCTTGTGGGTCCCCCTTCCCAAATACTTGGGGAGTTGGCTTTGGCCAACCAACAGAGCTTCCTGCTCTAAGTGTGTGGAGTGGGGCAGTAGGACCAGAGTCCGTAGAGATGAATTTGGCATTGTCTTTTCTGTCTCCAGGCAAAATCAAGGTGGAAATCTTCCCGCCCATCTCAACGAAGGACCTGACAACTGAGGATGTTGATGAGCTCGCCAAGCAGTGCTACACCACCATGAGGGAAACCTTCTTCAGATTGTCGGGAAAGAACCGAGAAGCCAACGGAGAGGCCTCCATCCTTGGGCAGTAGGGTCTCTTGCCAAAATGGCTAGGGGAGGGGAGTGTGGGACAGATCCTTCAATTGCCCCAAAGAGTGGTGATGGCCCCCTTGCTTGACGTGGTGGTGAAAACGTGTAGATATTCCCAAAGAACTTGAGTGAGGGGAGAAGGAAATTCAACCGGTGGATGTGCTCAAATTTCTCAGGTGGAGGAATCTCCTCTCCCCACCTTCTTCTTCACAAATTGCTATTACCAAAGATTCCTGACCTTCTCTGTGTTCACAACCCAGCAGCTTAAACAATCCCAAGTGCCTTTTGTCTCCTGGTGTCTCCAGGAATTGGGTCCATGGCTTCCTCCTTGACCTCCGGGGTGATGGGTGTGAAGGCGCTTACTTCCCTTCATTGGGCACAGGGATAATTTGGGTGGGCAGGCCCAGAGCCTGGTCCACTTGGCACTTTTTCCTAAAGGAAGATGGGGGTCAGGCCCCACTACCAGTATTTGACATAGTTTCAGGTTGAGATGGGGAATGTTCCTGAACCAGTAATGATCCTCGTTCAGAAGAGGGGATGCTGGGTATTTGCTGTCCTGATAGATGGCATCTATTACTGTTGGGGACAAGGTGTGCAAGTAGACTCCCACAGGTAAGCTGGGGAGAATGTGAAGGACCATGGCAGAGTTTGCCATTATGGTAACCAAGCAAATTCCATCCTCTACCTAGGACTCCTATTGACACTGTAGTGCAGTGCTTCTCCATCTCACCAACTTGGTGATGCAAGGACCTCAACTCCAAGAATTCTCCAGCCAGCTGTGCTAGGGAATGCTTGCTGGAGAATTCTGGGCATTGAAGTCCCTACATCATAAAGTCCTTCCAACTTTAAATCTTGCCCAAGAATAAGGAAGCTTTCTTATTTATTTGGGACAAAGTTTCCCCCGTGTTCTTTTCTTTCGAGATAACTATCGCTCTGTTGCAAGAAGAGATAATTTAGTCACCAAAAGTTGCCTCACATGGTTTGGGTGCCAGAGTTGCAAAGCAGATGTACTAACTTGGAAATTCTGAGATATCATCATCATGAGATCTCTGAGAAGAGCTGACACGGGGTGAATCCTTTTGCTGGAGAGGATTTCAAAACAGTTACGAACAGGTAAAGAGATCTGATTAAGTTTACCTGCCGTAGTGTTTGGATTTGCCCATCAGCTCAGTGAAGCATGGCTGTTTTATTTCGATTTTTGTGAGAACGGAGGGCACAATGCTGCTAGCAACTCTTCCCTAACTGTCACCCTCAGCTGGGTTGTGAGTCCAACAGTTGAGTTGTGTTGGGGCAGAGATTCCCAGGAGTAAACTCTTAAAGAGAATCAGAAGTACTTTCAGACAGACATCGTGTTCACTCGGAATTCTGATGGAGAACTTGCTATTTGGCCAACATTCCCGGCATGTTGGGCTGCTGCCCTGCTAAACTGGGATTGCTCCCCACCAAGCCTTGACACCGATCCCAGTCAATAAAGCCACTGCCTGTTGGTTGACAATTTGCTCAAGGGTGGAGACTTTTGTCTGTTTCTGAACCTGTTGGGACCCTGAACCAAGTTGGGTGGGCTTAGATGATCTTTAAGGTCCTTGCCAGCCCCGTCAGGCAAAAGTGTTCCCTTGGTTTCATCCAATCCGCTGTGGCCCTGCACTCATCCCCATGGATCATTCTTCTACAGTCCCAGTCCCGACCCCCAAAAAGGGTGGAGACTAGGCACAACTCAGCTTCCTTTATCTGGAGGCTCCAGAGCAGGAGGTCTCAACCTTTCCCAACTTCAAGATGGGTGGACTTCAACTCCCAGAATTCCCCAGCCAGCTTGCTGGTTAGGGAATTCTGGGAGTTGAAGTCCACCCATTTTAAAGTCATCGAGGTTGAAAAAGACTGCTCCAGACTCTCTGGAGAATTCATTGGGCTTGGTGATCAATCATCCTTCCGTGGACAGGAGAACAGCCAAATGTCCAGGATTTCTCAGTATCTGGGATGCTGTTCTTGCTGTACCCCCACCCTCCACCCTACTCCAATTCGGCAACAAAGCCCATCTCCCACTTAGCGGGGGATGAAGCTACCCCTGAAGCAATTCAGCATCTGAAGACCCATCAAGCACAACTCCAACATTCAGAGGGTCTGTTGGATCCACCAACCTCTTAAACCAGTTCCAGCTTTTGGCAGGCCTGAAGGACCAACAAAAAAGATGGCTGGGGGGGGGTGTTACTTGGAATCCTGACAGCTTTATTTACAGGGTTTGGGGGACACGGTTGTCTTGTCCAAGTGGGGGACAAGCAACTGGAAGGGAGGCCCTCAACCTTAGGCAAAGCACTCATCACCAGCCTGACTTCAGGGGGTGAAGACAAGAAAGAGTAGGTGGCTGCTGGGAGTTGTAGTTCCGACAGCTGAAGAATGGTTCTCCTGACCCCTTCAAAAGCATACCAAAAACATGTGCCAAAGTGCCTTATTGCAAAACCGTGGATTGCGTTTTGGTATTGTCAAATGTACTATTTTTATAAAGAATTTTATTTAAAGAGAATCAAGGCTGGAGTGGTTGATTCCTTCCAAAACGTTTGCTTTGGGGAATTGGGGGGGTAGGGGGAAGGGAGGCAGAGGCTCCATAGCCATGCCTGGGTTAATTTACCTTGTTACATCCGTCTTATGTTCTGCGTTTAGTGCTATATTCACTTTGTATGGGTTAGAATGCAACATTGCAGGCTGTAAAGCACTGTGAAGCGGCATATAAGTCCTAAGTGCTATTGCTACTGTATCTATGTCTATCATCCCTCCATCCATCGGCTGTGGTAGCGCAGTGGTTAGAATGCAGTATTGCAGGCTAACTCTGCTGACTGCCAGCAGTTCGATTCTCACCAGGCTTAAGGTCAACTCAGCCTTCCATCCTTCCGAGGTGGGTAAAACAAGGATGCAGATTGTTGGGGGCAAGAAGCTGACTCTCTAAACCACTTACAGAGCACTGTAAAGCGGTATACAAGTCTAAATGCTATTGCTATAACTCAAGGTGGCAAACGCACACAATACACCATCCTATTTCTTCTACAAGAAGCCTGTGAGGTGGGTTGGGCTGAGAGAAAGGGACTGGCCCAAAGTGTCCCAACCAGCTTTTGTGCCTAAAATGGGACTATTATTGTTGTTTGTTTGTTTGTTTGTTTGTTTGTTTGTTTGTTTATTTATTTATTTATTTATTTATTTATTTATTTATTTATTTATTTATTTATTTATTTAAAATTTTATACTGCCCTTCTCCCGAGGGACTCAGGGCAGTGCACAGCCAACAATAAAACACATATATCCATAAAATTTAAAAACAGTTTAAAAACATATTAAATAATTTGCCCCCAATATTATTAAAAACTAAATCAAACCATTAAAATTAATGTTTAGGCCAGCCCAGCTTGTTGAAACAATAATGTCTTGAGGGCACGGCGAAAGGTACGTAGATCAGGGATCATCCATATCTCCGGGGGCAATTCATTCCAGAGGGCAGATGCCCCCACAGAGAAGGCTCTCCCCCTGGGGATTGCCAGTTGACATTGTTTGACCGATGGCACCCTGAGGAGTCCCTCTCTGTGGGAGCGTACTGGCCGGTGGGAGGTTATCGGTGGCAGAAGGCGATCTCGTAAGTACCCTGGTCCTAAGCCATGGAGCGCTTTAAAGATGGTAACCAGCACCTTGAATCGCACCCGGAAGACCACCGGGAGCCAGTGCAGCTCGCGCAGGAGAGGTGTTACATGGGTGCGCCGTGTCGCTCCCATAATCACCCGCACGGCCACATTCTGGACCAGTTGGAGCCTCCGGGTGGTCTTCAAGGGGAGCTCCATGTAGAGAGCATTACAGTAGTCCAGACGGGACTCAGAATCTCCTGGTTCCTAGGCCCAGCACCTTCACCATTTCACCAAATTGGCCCATTACCGTTTTTCCTCACCAGGAGGGTGTCTGAATGATCTCCATGGAAAATCCAGCTCGGTCTGGAATGATGCCACCCAAATCTTTATCCTTGGCTTTTCCAAGACCTTCAGAGCAAAGGACCCCCCCCCCCCACACACAACTTCAAGTTCACTTAAAAGGCATTTCCACCGAGAGGCAGTTCCACCCCAGCAACCCGTTTAGCACCTCACCAGTTTTTGAGACTGAAAAATCCACTCCCAAGGCCCTCCAGTTCAATGAACGAGACCATTTTAAATTTTCCACATTTTAATGAGATTAAAAGTCCCACTTCTTTAGGTATTTTAGCCAAGAACAGATTTATTAGGAACCAGGAACACCCCAGTGCTATTTCTACGATAACAATTCAAACTTTTGCAGACTTCAGCAAAACCCCGAACATTCTTTTATTCTAGTTGTTTCCTTCCTTATCAGCTGCTCGGCCTCGTTCCCACCATTCCTAATTGCTTCCTTTTGCTTCCATCCAACCTCGGTCACAATCGTGTTTTGACTTGAGATATGAGAAACGGGGAGGTCAACCGTTGGGAAGAGCCATTCATTTCCTTCAAGAGGTTACACGCAGGTTACAATAGCTTTTCCGCATACAAAGTGGCTCTAGCTCAGGGGCGTCAAACTCGATTTCACTGGGGGCCACATCAGGGTTGTGTTTGACCTCGGAGGACTGGGTGTGTGTGTGATGGGGCTGGGCGTGGCCATGGTGGGCCTCCCCGGCCTCCTGCAGCACTTTGCCGGCCAAAAACGGGCCTGGGGCCTCCGCACGGCCCATTTTCAGCCGGCAGAGTGCTGCAGGAGGCCAAGGAGGCTGAAAATGGGTTGCAGAGGAGCTGTCCATGGCCCTACCATGGCCTGTTTTAGCCGGCAGAGGCACCACACGCCGGTCCTTTTGATATTTCCAGGCCAGCTCCACGGGCCAGATTTAAGTACCCCACAAGCCGGATCTGGCCCGTAGACCTTGAGTTTGACACTCCTGCTCTAGCTCATTCACAAATCCCTGTCACCATTGCCCCATTGTGCTCTTTAATGCACAATATTGCAATGACCCTCACCGTCAGACGATAACGCTCAAAATGTGCTGGGAAGCACCATGGAGGTCAGCACGTGGCCGGAAACATACACGCTCCAAACAAGAAAAAAGAAAAGCAAAAACATTTCCACTGTTGTAAAAAAAAAAAAAAAGGACGACTCAGGATTGTCCCCTTTGCTTTCTTCGCTGCCTCTGGTACCTCGGCAAAGGCCAAGGCAATTTGATGCACTAACGGCCCAAGTTCCTGCTTTAGGTGCTAGTACCTGGTCCATGCGATGCAGCCTTGGACTCCTGACACAAAAGTACCTGGCTAGGCTGTCTAACTAGTGAAAGCAGCTCTGCAGCACTGAAGTACCATGAGGGGAATGGGACAACTTGCCACAGCCAATTCGTTGTGTGTTGTGGTCCGCCAACAGCCTGAGGAGCTGGCAGCGGAGTCGGACAGCGATGAGGCTGAGGAAGAACATGGGCCAGTCCTGGAGGCTGGGGAAGGCCCGGATGAGGGCTCTGCGTCGGAGGCAGAGATGGGGCCAGGGCCATTGGGGAGTGATGCGCGGACTTCGGAGCCTCCAGAGGCTGAGAGTAGAGAGGCAGAGGAACAGGAGGAGCCTGTTCCTAATGCATGCATGAGAAGAGCTGCCAGAAGGCAGGAGCAGCTAAAGCAGAGAGGACAACTCGGGAGTAGGTCCAAGAGATGATTGGCCCCTCCCATAAAGCTTAAAAGACCAGTAACGGCTCTTGGCCTCTTTGCTGGAAAACAACTGTTGAGAAATTTGCTTTGTGTTTAGATGTATTTCTTTCTTGTCAGAGTCTTCTGTTCCTGAACTGTTGCCAAGAAAAGCCGTTGGCAGTTTGCCTAATTATCCCAAAGTCAGAGATAAACTGAAGGTGTTTTGAGAACTTTGCTTTCATTTAATTTGGAATAAGCTGAGAATGAGTTAATTCTCAGCTGTTTTAATAAAATCTGTTTGTTTTTTGGAACTGTTTTGCATTTAATATTAACTACGTGGACCTGGGCCCACAACACTGTGGGACAACTTGCCATGGCCAACTCATTGCAGCCAGTTCCAGTATTTGAGGGGCAAATTCAACAGGGGTTGGATTAATGACACAAAGAAAAGATTTTGAAAATGCTTGAGGCGGAACATGGACAGAGTCTGGGTTCCTTTAAGGCTGTTGAGGCCGATTACCTGTAGTAGCTATTTTAGAAGAGGACGTTCCCGCTAGTGAGTTCTGACTGCTTTACTAGAATCAGGACTGTGTTTATAAAGGACACGGGAGAAAAAGTATAAATTCCCACCAAGCTGACAGGAAACGCCAACACTTCGGAAGAGAGCTTCAAGATTTAGCACAATCTCGACAAGCCCTATTCAATAAGATGCGATTCCGCAGCGAGAGAAATCAGGTTCTGTACCTAGGTAGGAAAAACCAAATGGACAGGTAGGTATAGAATAAGCAGTTCCTGGCTCAATAGCAGTAACGGTGTGAGGGATTTAGAGAGGTCTTAGTATACCAACCCTTAAAGTGGAGCTAGGAGTCTGCTGCAACAGCCAGAAAAGCCAACGCAGACCTCGTCTGCATTCAACAGAGGGACAAGATTCAAGATCACGGAACGTGAGAGTACCACTTTACACTGAATTAGTGAGGCCACGCTTGGAATACCGCACCCAGTTCTGGTCACCATGACGCCAAAAAAGAATCTGAGACTCTAGAACTGTGATGGCGAACGTATGGCAAACATGCCAGAGGTGGCACGCAGAGCCCTCTATGTGGGCGTGCGCACTGTCGCCAGCTGCTCTTCTGGTTTCTGAAAAATGGACTGAAAAAGGGCAAAAACCAGCTGGAAAACGGCCTGGAAAACGGCTTGAAAACAGCTAGGAAAACAGCCCAAAAATGGCCTGAAAACGGCCTGAAAACATCCAGAAAAAGGCCAGAAAAACAGCCAAAAAACAGGTATGCGCAGGCTGGCAGCTGGTCTTTGGGTTTCCGGTGCTCTGGCATGACACATACACATGTTCCGATTTGGGCACTCGGTGCCGAAAAGATTCACCATCACTGCCCTAGAAACAGTGCAGCGAAGAGCAACGGAGACAATTCGGGTTCTGGAGACTAAATCATAAGCCGGACAGCTGAGGGAGCTCGGTGTGTCTAAGCCTATGGAAGAGGCGGCTTAAAGGTGACACGATTGCGGTCTTCCAGTACTTGAGGGGCTGTCCCAGAGAAGGGGGGGTTGATTTCAGAGGTGGGTTTCATATAATTTTACCACTGGTTCGCCACGCACCGAAAATGTGAGTGTGCACACACCTGCCGGACCTGGGTGCAGCCTTCCGTGCATGTGCTTTGCTCACACGCATGGCTTGCACACATGCGCACGGCAGTGGTGGGTTGCCCCTGGTTCCCACCGGTTCTATAGAACCGGTAGTAAAACCGGCGGGAAGCTCCGCCCACTGACCCCGACGTCATCAGAACGCTTCTGCGCATACACAGAAGAGCACACGCACGCGCGGCCCCATTGCGAACCGGTAGTAAAGGTAAGTAGAACCCACCCCTGGCGCACGGCTTAGAAAACGTGGCTAAATAGGATGGTATAGTGCCGGGGCGGGAGGACGGGGAGCCGGGCCCACCCCACCCACAGGTCGCCACTACCAGTTCGAACCAGCTGAATACACCACGGGTTGATTTACTCTCTAAGGCAGGGATCCCCAACCCCAGGTCCAAGGTCCGGCACTGATCCGTGGCACGCCAGAAACCGGGCCACGCAAACGAGCAAAGCCCCCATCCGTGGGATGCAGGCAACCCACGAAACCACAACCTTCCGGTCCCTGGAAAAACGTCTCTCCACAGAACCAGCCCCTGGTGCCCAAAAGGTTGAGGGGGGGCACTGCTCTGAAGGCACCAGAGGGCAGGCTAAGAAGAACTGGGTGGAAGCTGGTTTAAAGAGATCCAACCTAGAAAGGAGCCTGGATAGCTCAGCAGACTAATGCATTGTAATTTAACTCCAGCTGTCTGCAATTACTGTAAGTTCGAATCTCGCCAGGCTCAAGGTTGACTCAGCCTTCCATCCTTTCTAAGGTAGGTGAAATGAGGACCCAGTTTGTGGGGGCAATAAGCTGACTTTGTATAAAATATACAAAAGTATGAAGGCTATTGCTTAACGCACTGTAAGCTGCCCTGGGTCTCCAGAGAAGGGCGGCATATAAATCAAATAAAAAAAAAAAGGAGAATCCTCCTGACAGTGAGGACAATTAACCGGTGGAACGGCTTGCCACAATAAGTTGTTGCTTCATCCCTGAAGGTTTTCAAGAAGAGATTGGACAGCCATTTGTCTGGAATGCTATAGAGACTCCTGCTTGAGCAGAAGGCTGGACTAGAAGACCTCCAAGGTCCCTTCTGGCCCTATAATTCTGTTCTATTTCTTTCTTAAAAAGGGAGGACATGGGAAACACAGTGGGAGTTTTTTTTTTTTACAATTGGAAAGTGAAGCCAGCAGGACACTAATGGTGCATTTACACAAGGGGGGGGCTGTTTTAGCACCACCCTCCCCACCGAAATAACCCAGCCTTGCCAAGATATTTTGGGTGACAGCCTGGAAAAGAGCAGCTTCTGAGATTTGCCAAAGGGGCCCCTTTGCCAAACTGCTGCTCTTGTACCTCATGGGGGGGGAGGCGAGACCTGCCCACCTTACCCAAATCTGTCCACTCAGCAAGCAAGACGCTTCCTGTTTCAAGGGATGTTTTGCTAAGGAGGCTGCCAGTCTCCCTCCCTCCCTCCCTCCCACAACCTCTGGCCAGCAGGGTTTGGAGAGGTGACCCATCCTGGGAGCCAGCCAGCTGGAGGGAAAAGGGGGGGGAGCTCGCTGAGAACGTGATATTTTCAGCCTCCTAATCCTCTCCGCTGCCTTGGCTTGGCTTGGTTGCTGGAACAAGGCTCAGTTGCTACTCAACGGAGAGACACACCAGAAAAACAGTGAGATGTGGGGAGCACCAAGGACCTCCATCCTTCTTCAGCCTCAGAGCCGGTTCTTGCAGGAACCTATGGGGGGGGGGGCAAAATGGCAAAGTCAACCTTGGGTGGTGGGAGGGGAACTTGCTCACGCTTTCCAAGGGGGAAGGGTCTGTGAGGATGAAGGAAAGGAAAGAACATGGGAGAGGGGACTTCAGAGGAATGAAAGCATCTGTCCGCTATTTCAAAAGAGTCTGGAGCAAAACAGGAGCTCCGGTTCCCCATCGCCCACCTTTGCTTCGTGGGGTCCTCGGTGCTCTCTGAGCTTGGTTGTTTTCTTGGAGATGTTTCATAACCCAACTAGATAACGTCATCAGTGTTAGAAGGAGGTGGGGTTTGCTCTCTGCTTGGATACTAGTGGCTTCCCTGACAGTCCTGGTTGGAGTTGATTCCTTGATCGGGCTGTTGGATTGTTTGTCTGAGTTGCTAGTTCCTCCATTGGGGTCTTGTTTATTGCTTCAAATTTCAAGCAGCAAACGGTAAACATATCCAGGGATTATCAAGTCAGACTATTTATTATTTATTTATTCAATTTGTATGCCGCCCCTCTCCGAAGACTCAGGGCGGCTCACAATGCATTTAAAATCATTATAAAAAACATTTAAAAATTAAAAACATTAAAACCCATTCACACCATTCATGGCCAGATCTCACCAGATCGCAAGAGCGAGATCAACGGCCCCAGGCCTGCCGGAAAAGCCAGGTCTTCACCGCTTTTCGGAAGGCCAATAGGGTGGGGATGGTCCGGACCTCAGGAGGTAACTGGTTCGAGAGAGCTGGGGTAGCCACAGAGAAGGCCCTCCCCCGCGGGCCCGCCTAACTATCAAACACTAAATAACAGCCAAATTAAGAAACTACCCAGAAGAAAAAAATGCCCCCACTGACAGCCCAAGCCACTGTATATAAACAGAGAGCAAACTCCTTCTTGCACTGATGATGTTCCCTAGTTGGGTCATGAAATGCCTGCAAGAAAGTGAGAACCAAGGACCCCTCATTGCAACCCTGAGCTACAAATACTCTCTTCTATTAAAATTTTAGGGTTTTTCCCCCCTCTAAAGCTATTTAGGGCACACCTTCTGCCTGCAAATTGGGGGAAGGGATCCCTGGTGCTGATATGGAGCTAATGGTATCCCTAAATGTGTGGAAATGGGGTGGGAAGCTCTTGGGGCGCCACAGAAGAGCCTGTAGGGCTCTGCAGACCAGCCCCCCGTGTCTCAATTCCTCCTGCACTTTGCACCAACGGAAACCCTGTGATGGATCTGGGACAGGCCCAGATGGAAAGTGGGAGTGGGCGGGAGGGAGGGAGGGAGGGAGATCCATTGGCGCCACCTACAGGTTTCCAGGCGCTCCTCCAGGAAAGAGATCTGCTCGCTGAGCGAATCTATTCGGTCCAGTTGCTGGATCACGTGGACCAACAGGCTGATGGGTTCTGCCCCGTGGCCGTCTCCGGCACCAGGCAGGTCCAGCTTGAGAAACGGTGCCAAAACGAGCTGGAACTTCTGTTGAGAGAGAGAGAAGCGTCTTAATACAGAAAATCCTTAAAGAGGATCCTTAAAGAGGATAAAAAGAAAACAGGGACTTTTCTTTCGGGTTTAATGGAACAAGACTCGAGGGGGAAAAATTCGGAACTTTGACGTTGTATATGTTGACGGCAGCAAGACTACTCTACGCACAGAAATGGAAGGTCCCCTCGGTCGCCACAATGGATGAATGGCTGCAAAAACTGATGGAGTTAGCAGAGATGGCTAAATCGACTGCTTTGATTAAGGGAAAAAAATACAAATACTTTTATTTCTACTTGGAAACCACTTCTGAACTTTCTGCTTGAGGCGGAAAAAAACTGAAACTTTGATTTTGGGGTTTACCGATTAGATAATTAGATTAGATTTGTTGTTATAGAAATGGCTAGTTTCTATTATTACGAAAAAGTAAAAACTTGAGGGAAGTGCTTAATGCCTTATTTTACTACACCAAAGGAGTTGGAAGTCAATGCATTTTTTTCTTTTTCCCTTGCTTTCCCCCCACTATCCACTTCCCTTTTTTCTTTTCCTAATTTCCCTAATATTTACTTTTGTATCCTTTTGGATGTCATATTATAAATTAATAAAACTATATAAACATGAGAAAGGGAGAAGCGTGGCTCCCAGGAGGTCTCCTGGCAGGGTTTTTTTTTTTTTAATGTATTAGATTTTTTTTATCCTGCTTTTATTACTTTATAGCGAACTCAAGGTGGTAAACATGCCCCTTCATTGCATCAGACAAACTTCAACCAAACTTAAGCTCAGATCAACTCCTAGGATTTGTACATGGCCCCATGAGAGTCTGACAACAGCCAATAGAATACATGTTCTTGCACAGGAACAGGAAGCTCAAGTGCAAAGCCCAAGAGAAGGTATAAATACCCCCCTCTCAACTCCATGTGGTCCGCTGCCCAGAACCACCCCTGTGCTTCTGCTTCATCATTAAACCATCTTTCCAATCAGCCTCCATTTTTTCCAGTGTCTTTCTCCCGGCTTGGAACTGAACCAGATGGATATTTCTTCCAACACTCCTTTCCAAGGACTAACTGAGCTGACCCTCCTTGGCTCTTTCTGTCTTGATCAGCTGCCACCCACTGCAGCACAGAGGGAAAGTCTCTTTTATAATCCCCAGACATATTTCCCAAAGGCATGTCACTTCCAGGTTGTAGCCAAGAAAAGGGAGCCATGTATTAAATCATGAGCTGAGCGTCGATGAGACCTTCCCTTGTGCAGCAATAGGTGGCAATATAGAGCTGCCTCATTCAGAAAGAGCCAAGGAGAGCCAGTTGAGTTAGTCCTGGAAAAGGAGACCACCAGGACATCCCAAGAGAATCATCCATAAATTGTTTCAACTTCTACCCTCAAAACGACGCTATAGGGCACAACTAGACACAAGAACAGTTTTTTCCTGAACGCCATCACTCTACTAAACAAATAATTCCCTCAACACTATCAAATTAGTTACTAAGTCTGCACTACTATTAATCTTCTCATCGTTCCTATCACCCATCTCCTCCCACTTATAACTGTATGACTGTAACCTTCTTGCTGGTATCCTTACGATTTATTGACTGTTTCCCTATGACTATCATTAAGTGTTGTACCTTATGATTCTTGACAAATGTATCCTTTCTCCAAGAACGTATGCACCAAGACAAATTCCTTGTGCGTCCACTCACACTTGGCCAATAAAGAATTCTACTTCTATTTCTATTTCTATTATTTCTATTTCTATTTCTATTTCTATTTTATTCTATTCTACTCTACTCTACTCTACTCTACTCTACTCTACTCTACTCTACTCTACTCTACTCTACTCTACTCTACTCTACTCTACTCTACAAGAATCAACCACATATGAGAGTAGGACAAGAAGCAATGGGTAGAAACTAATCAAGGAGAGAAGCAACTTAGAACCAAGGAGAAATTTCCTGATAGTTAGAACAATTAATCTGTGGAACAACTTGCCTGCAGAAATTGTGACTGCTCCAACACTGGAAGTTTTTAAGAAGATGTTGGATAACCATTTGTTAGTGGTGTAGGGATTCCTGCCTAAGCAGGGGGGTTCGACTAGAAGACCTCTAAGGCCCCTTCCAACTCTGTTATTCTATTCTATTCTATATGCACCATTGCCAACTACAGCTGTGTTCGTGAAGACTCCATCAGGGAAGCTCAACGTAGGACCTTCTTTTCTAAGTCAAGCCCATCACCTTAATCACTGAGTAAATTTTCCTCCCTGATCTCTGCCTGACCCTATGGATTTATGTTGCTTAGTTGCAGTGAAGGCCACTGTACAATTCCCTCAACACTGTCAAACTATTTACTAAGTATGCACTACTATTAATCTTCTCACCAGCACCCATCTCCTTCCACTTATGACTATATGACTGTAATTTTGTTGCTTGTATCCTTATGATTTATATTGATATTATTTCCTGATTGCTTATTTGTACCCTATGACTATCATTAAGTGTTGTACCTTATGATTCTTGATGAATGTATCTTTTATGTACACTGAGAGCATATGCACCAAGACAAATTCCTTGTGTGTCCAATCGCACTTGGCCAATAAAAAATTCTATCTATTCCATTCAGACAACCTCCGTTCCTAACTGCAGTTACCAGAAGGAGACTCACTTCTTCCAAAGCCGCCAACCTGCTTCTCAGCTCCCTCACTTCGTCTGGAACGGGAAGGCTGTCACTTCCTGCTGCACAAATTCACAACAAAACAAAACAAAACATTGGTAAGAACCAGGTTAAGGACAGACATCGCAACGATTCCAAGAAGGTTGTGTTTGTTGCTATTTTAGGATATAATAAGAGGCTCCCGAAAGTCTGTCCAAGTTTCTCTCGGTCCCTTCGCACACTAAGAGAATCAGGATGGGGTCCTCTCAAGTTTCTTCCTTGAACTTCCTTCTCTCTGTCCACGTTCCACCACCCCCTGACGTCTCTCTTCTTCCTTCCTCAAAGCCAGGTCTGCATTCCTTCACAACGGCTTCCCACAACAGCTTCCCAAGGCAAATTGTTCCCAGTTATAGCCAAGAAACAATCCGATAGGTCTAAGAAGCCATCAGGAGTCTCGCTCGACTGAAATATAAGGTAGTCCTCGACTTACAACAGTTGAACAGTGATTGTTCAAAGTTACGACGCCACTGAAAAAAGTGACATAGATAGGACCGTTTTTCACACCTATGACCACTGCAGCATCTCCATGGTCAGGCGATCAAAATTCAGATCTTTGGCAACGGGTTCATATTTACGACGGTCGCCATGTCCTACGGTCACACGATCCGCTTTTGCGATCTTGTGACAAGCAAAGTCAAGGGGGAACTGTGTTTTCACTTAATTCACTTAACAACCAACTTAACAACTGCAAGTGATTCGGTTAACAGCTGCGGCAAGGAAGGTTGTAAAACAGGGCAAAACTCACGTAACAAATGTTTCCCTCAACAACATAAATTTTGGGCTTGATTGTGGTCGTAACTCGAAGACTACCTTTGTACGTATCAGTGGTGAAATCCAAATTTTTTTACTACCAGTTCTGTGGGCATGGCTTAGACGGCGTGGTGTGGCTTGGTGGGCGTGGCAGGGAAAGGATACTGCAAAATCCCCATTCCCTCCCCACTTCTGGGGGAAGGATATTGCAAAATCTCCATTCCCACCCCACTCTGAGGCCAGCCAGAGGTGGTATTTGCCGGTTCTCCAAACTACTCAAAATTTCCACTACCGGTTCTCCAGAACCTGTCAGAACCTGCTGGATTTCACCCCTGGTATGTATGTGTTTTTGTATGTGTGTGTGTCTACCATTATTAAATTCATTTTCTGATTTTAATCTCTGGAGTCCTTGGGGCTCTCTTGAGTTTGGCTGCTGGTTTGCAGACTTTTCCTTCTCCAACTAGGTAACATCACCAGTGCTAGTGAAGGTGGGGGTTTCTCCCTGTTGATTGTAATTGTTTCAGTGGGCAAAGACTGGAGAGGTTAACAACCAAACAGCCATCCGTGGAGAGATGAGTAGATGTTTTATTTGCTGGGATTCCAATCTATCCGGCACTCTCCTTATCTAGGCAGGATTGCAAATTCCAACAACCACACAGAGTCCGTCTGGTATGGAGCTGAGTTGTTGGGCTGGAAGCAGGGAAACCTGGGTTCAAGACTACCCTCAACCACAGACTTAAACCACTTGCTGGCTCTCTACCCGGCCTACCTCGCAAGCTTGTTTTTGGACGGAGCACTATATCTCACGCTCCTGGAGGAGAAGTGATAAAAACCAACCAAAAGCATCCCAGACGTTCAAAATCCTCCTCCTCTTGGTCTGCCCAAGAGAGTGCAGGAAATCAGCCACGGGCTAAGTGGCTCTTTTCCCTTTCCACGGATCGAAGGCTGGCGGTGACACGTTGCTCCACTCTTCCTCTTCGGCGTAAAGGCTGCCCCTCCGCGCATTATTACTCACGGTACGAGTTTGAAGTGGCACAGCGCGTACCAAAAGTAATAATGAGCCGCGGTCAGCCTCGGCTGGTGGTCTCCTCTTCCTGCTCGGGGTGCGACGTAGAGAAGGAAGGCAGCAGGCAGACCCTCCGAAGCCTCTGAGAAAAGCCTTGGGGTGCTACAGGAAGGTGTGTGCAGCATTAAAAGTAACGTTTGGGAGCTCCAGGTCAGCCATGTTGGGTCAGGATTAGGGACCAGGTAACCTTGGGTGCACTGCACACATTAAACTAGTCTAACTGTGAAAAATCTGAGTTCCCCCACAAAGCTACACGTAGCATCTGAGAAAATGCTTGGAGAAGATAGACGTCCCTGCATTGTTCGGATGCCACAAGAAACAGTGCAGCCATTCCTCTTTGAGGACCAGATGGATTCGCACAACACCCTGGAGGTGAAGCCTCTAGAGTCGTGTTTCTCGACCTCTGCCACTTTAAGATGGATGGACTTCAATTCCCAGAATTCTGGGAGTTGAAGTCCACTCATTGTAAAATGGCAGAGTTGAGAAACACTGCTAGTGTTTTCATCCAGGCTACAGTTGATGGATTAAAATCAGTGGTGAAATCCAATTTTTTTTACTATCGGTTCTGTGGGCGTGGCTTGGTGGGTGTGGTGTGGTGTGGCGTGACGGGCGTGGCAGAGGAAGAGTATCCTTCCTCTGCTATGCCCACCAAGCCGCACCACGCCCACCAAGCCACGGCCACAAAATCAGTAGTAAAAAAATCTCCTTTCCCACCCCACTCCAGGGGAAGGATACTGCAAAATCTCCATTCCCACCCCACTCCAGGGCAAGAATACTGCATAATCTCCATTCCCTCCCCACTCCTGGGGGAAGGATATTGCAAAATCTCCATTCCCACCCCACTCCAGGGCAAGAATACTGCAAAATCTCCATTCCCTCCCCACTCCTGGAGGAAGGATATTGCAAAATCTCCATTCTCACCCCACTCTGGGGCCAGCCAGAGGTGGTATTTGCTGGTTCTCCGAACTACTCAAAAGTTCCGCTGCCGGTTCTCCAGAACCTGTCAGAACCTGCTGGATTTCACCCCGATTCAAATTGAATCAAGTTGTCTACTAGCCCAGGTACTGGATTCATTTATCATACTGGGGGGACCCTGGAAAAATGTAGCTATGGTTGTGCCTTCCGCCAGGCATTTAAGTAATTCAAGGTTGACTCAGCCTTCCATCCTTTCTAAGGTAGGTGAAATGAGGACCCAGTTTGTGGGGGCAATAAGCTGACTTTGTATAAATATACAAAAGGATGAAGGCTATTGCTGAGCACATTGTAAGCCGCCCTGAGTCTCCGGAGAAGGGCGGCATATAAATCAAATTAAAAAAAAAAAAAGTAACAAGAATTTTGTCTTCCTGTCCTACCTGGGAGGGCAACTCCTCATGAGACCTCTAACTCAAGGAACCTACTCACCCACCCACCCACCGACGCACCTACCACTGGCGAGGAACACCATTCCTGCATAATAAACTCAAGGTGTCATCAAAGTGGATTCTCCTTCTGGACCAAGAGGATTAGGGGACTACAGGCTCAAACATACGATGAACGGTTGCAGGAACTGGGCCTGGCTAGTCTAGTGAAGAGAAGGACCAGGGAAGACAGGATAGCATCTTCCAATGTTTGAGGGGCTGCCACAGAGAGGAGGGGCTCAAGCTATTCTCCAAAGCACCTGAAGGCCAGACGAGAAATAATGGATGGAAACTGATCTAGGAGACATTCAACTTAGAAATAAGGAGAAATTTTCTGACAGTGAGAACCATCAACCAATGGAACAGAAGTTGCCTTCAGAAGTTGGGGGAGCTTCATCACTTGAGGCTTTCAAGAAGAGACTGGGCTGCCATCCGTCAGAAATGGTGTAGGGTCTCCTGCTTGGGTGGGGGGTTGGACTAGATGACCTACAAGGTCCCTTCCAACTCTATTAATCTGTATCAGTACCTCTAGCTTTGCTTAGCGAAAAGAAGCCAGCCAAGTCACCAAGGTGGCCAGAAGGAGGGCCCAAGTGCAAATCCAAATGTTGGGGGAAATGGAGGAGAAATTCCATGCAAAGGCTCAAAGTCAATTGTTGGCCTCTGCATTTTGTCATGAGCAAGCACGCAAAGCCCTGCCAGACAAAGATTAAAGCAGCAAACTCTGATCTCACCTGGGGGAGCTGGGGTCGGGGGCACTTTCAGAGCCCGGCAAGTTTGTCCATCCGCCTGGAGCTCGTACCCTGGATGGCAAGCGCAGCGGTAACTTCCGGCCGTGTTGACGCAAAGCTGGCGGCAGCCATGTTTCCCCATTGCACACTCGTCTACGTCTGCAGGCAGAGGAGGAAGCAGTGAGCCAAGGGGACCCCTGCCTCCATCCCAGGCCTGATTAGTGCGTTTCTTGTTGCATCCATTTACAATAATACATTTTAATAATAATTTTACACTGATGATGGGGAAGAGATATGATCTGGCAATCACGCCACGTCACACCAACTCTCGAAATGGGTGTTGTGACTCCAACCCCCGAGGCCGACTTATCGGAGGGAGAAGGCTCCGAACATGAAGGAGAGGAGTTGGCCAGGCCTCCCTCTCCAGGACCCTCCTCTCTGGCAATGCCTCAGGTGTCTCCTGAAGGAGAAGAGATTGGCCAGGAGCCAGGTATCTCCTCGCAGTCGGACAGTGACGGAGATAAGTCTTGGCTGGATCCACGCCAGCGTCCGAGAGACAAGCACACGCAGCAGAAAAGGAGGCGTGCCAGAGATTAGACTGAGTCACTGGACCACACCCCACAGGGGATAAAAGGGGGTGAGGTGGCCATTCAGACTCTGTGACGGACAAAACTAACTACTAGTGAGTCACATTGTATCTTTGAAACAACGTTATCTGCCTTGGATTTAATATGGACTGGACTTGACAATTCTTGAACTGTGTGTATCTTATTTAGGTTTATCTGTCGGAGGAACAACCCCTCCCTCTATGAGTGGCAAGCAGCTACTGGGTTGCTGCCAATCCTCTTATCCAAAGAATTTGTTGTCTGCCAGTTTTATTGAACCCCTGGCTATCTGTTTGTGTGCGTGTGTGAGACGGGGACAGAACAATGGGCCTATCTAACATGCCAGCCCAAATGCCCGCTGGAAAAACCCAGCTTTGAATGCCTTACGAGACACCAGTAGCAGTTTGCTAGCCTTAGTTCCTGCACGAACAGGCAAGGGTACAGAGTTAAAGGGATCTTCTAAAGACCGAATAGGAGAACCGTAAAGACTTTTGTTGGGCATCAAGAAGAATTTCCTAGGACTAAGAGCTCCTTTGGGAAGGGACACATTCTCAGAGGTCTGTCCCTCATGGAGATGGACTAGATCAGGGGTGTCAAACTGAAGGCCCAGGGGTGGCTTTGATCTGGCCCTTGGGTCGGCCCTGGAAACAGCAAAGCCCGCAGTGCCTCTGCCAGCAAAAGCAGAGCTTGGAAGGGCTGTGTGCAGCTCTCCCAAGCTCAGTTTTTGCTGGTAGACGGTTGCAGGAGGCCGTCGCAGCCGAAAACAGAATTCGGGAAACTATTTTCGCTGGTAGAGCACTTGGGCCACCACAGGCGCCCCCAACACGAGTGACGTCAAGCTGACTGCGCCCACCCACGGCCTCCCCAAGATCAAACACAGCCCTGATGTGGCCCTCAATGAAATCGAGCTGGACATCCCTGAACTAGATGGTCTCTAAAGCCTCCTATAGCCACATGGGAGTCTGGAAAGGCACGTCCCAGGAGGGCCCGGACTTCAAAAATGGCAGTGCTCTCCAAATTATTCTCCAAAGCACTGGAGGGCAGGACAGGAAATAATGGATGGCAACTGATTCAACAGAGAAGCAACCTGGAATGAAGGAGAAACTTCTTAACAGTGAGGACAATTAATCGGTGGAACAGCTTGCCACTGGAAATCGTGAATGCTCCAGTACTGGAGATTTTAAAGAAGAAACTGGGCAGCCACTTGTCTCAAATGGTATAGGTCCTCTTACTTGAGCAGCGGGCTGGACTAGAAGACCTCCAAGGTCCCTTCCAATTATTCTATTCTATTCTATTCTATTCTATTCTATTCTTTCCTATTCTTTCCTATTCCTATTCCTATTCCTATTCCTATTCCTATTCCTACTCCACTCCACTCCACTCCACTCCACTCCACACTCCACTCCACTCCTAATTCTAATTCTAATTCTAATTCTAATTCTAATTAATTCTAATTCTAATTCTAATTCTAATTCTAATTCTAATTCTAATTCTAATTCTAATTCTAATTCTAATTCTAATTCTAATTCTAAATAGATTTGACCATTGCACAGGAGAGACAAAAGAAGAGCTGGATCACCCAAGGTGGGAAAATGGGCCAGGAGTCTAATATAATATGTTATATTTTATATATATATAAATAAAAGGTGAGATTAAAGTCTGATCATCATCATCATCATCATAGTAAAATAGTGTTTGAACAAACAAAATGGCACTTGTTCGAGTTCTTTGCTTCCCAACTTCCCTTCAATAGACAAACTAACAAACGTCGGTTTATCGTGATGTGAGCCAATCTCGCTCTGTGGTTCCACCCACAGGCCAGTTCACCCGACATCCGAGACCCGGGTGGGAGCAGAACCCGGCACCTCGCTCACTTCCTTCCTGTTGCAAGTCGTATGAATCTGAGGTTTTGGAGCACAGCACCTTCCCCAATGCCAGCATCGGGCTGTCCTGCAGCTTCTCCTGAAGAGGAAACACCTGGCAGCACCCAAAGACTTTTACCTGTCTGGCAACACCTCCCGGTCCATCCAGGGCAGGCGCAGTCGTTTGGGAGCGAACATTTCCGGCTGGGCTGGCACGGTGGGCGGCAAATAGCAGCTGCGGTGAGACAAACACATCAGTTATGTTTGCATCCTGCCGGCCTCTCTTTCCTGCAGACCGGCTGCTCGTAAATCAGTCAACGTGTGGGCTGATTTTATACAATACCAGATGGAAACTTGGGGACCACAAAGCCAAAAACAGGGGAAGGCGGGGGGAACCCCCACTTCCATTCAGACAGGTGGAAGTGGGACGATCCTGGCTATCTACCTCACCATTATCTGCTATCTCTCAGGCACAAACATGCTGTCAGAACAGAGTTATTGGGTTTGACTGATCCAGGGTTGGCTTAGCTGTCTGTGGAATTAACATGGTTGAAAAGTTGTCCCAAAGATGCTTGTTCAGGAGGCAACTGAAGTTTCTTGTTTTTTTTTCTTTTGAAGACATTTCGCGTTATTTATTTTATTTTATTTATTTTATTAGTCATATTTCTATGCCTCCCACACTCCGAGGACTCTGGGCGGCTTATACCAAAGACAGTATACTAAATAGCATATTGCCTCCCCAACAATCTGGGTCCTCATTTTAACCCACCTTGGAAGGATGGAAGGCTGAGTCAGCCTTGAGCCGGTGAGATTTAATTTGCTGATCTGCTGAACTAGGAGTCAGCTGAAGTAGCTGCAGTACTGCACTCTAACCACTGCGCCACCTCGGCTCTTACTTACAGGGGGATGAAGGGATTTCCAGAGGAAAAATTGCAGATTACAGGATCTGCAAATTGCAGATTACATTTGCACCACTCAGGAGACCCTGAGGACACAGATAAGCCTCAACAAGTCTCTAAAACGATGCAAATGACCAGCTGTCTGCAAGGAGTATAAATCCTTCCATTCCCCATCATCCTGTCAGAACTGAAGAAGCTTCTTGGATGAGAAGCCAAACGTCTTCAAAAGGAAAAAACCAGGAAGCACCTTTGGGACAACTGTGACCTGGATGACTGAGAATCTCTACAGACTTTGGTTGAAAAGTTGTAATTACCTTTTCAAAGATTCGGGTGCTCTTTTGATAATTTTTATTAAAGATTTTTCTTAATATAAAATACAAACAAAAATGAAGACAAGAAAAAAAAGGATGAAGGGAAAAGGAGAGGGGGATAGAGTGAGGGGAAAAGAAAGAAAGAAAAAGCCAGAGACTTCTAACTTTTTTCAGTGCATAGTAGAATTATAGCACCAACTTTTTCCTTCTACAAAAATACTTAAGTCCTAACCTTTTCTATAACAACCACCTACAAACCTAAATTCAGGAGGAATTTAAGGAGTTTAAACCTGAGGAGGCTGGGAGGAGCATGGGCCAGTCCTGGAATCTGGGGAAGGCTTGGACAAGGGCTCTGTGTCAGAGGCAGAGAGGGAGCCAGGGCCATCTGGGAGTTATGTGCTGCCTCCGGAGCCTCCAGAATTGGACATCAGCAAGGCAGAGGAACAGGGGGAGCCTGTTCCTAGTGCGCACATGCGCAGAGCTGCCAGAAGGCAAGAACAGTTAAAACAAAAGGGGTGACTCGGGAGTAAGGCTTGGAGATGACTGGCCCTTCTCATAAGACATAAAGGAGGAGCAAAGGCACGTGAGCCTTTGCAGGAAGCAACTTTGTTCGTGCTGGTCGGTTTAAATTCTGAAGCTCTGTTTTGACTCTGTGCTCCGTGTGGCTAATTGCCAGTTAAGTCTTTGGCAGCGTGTCACGGGAGATAAAGGTGGGTGCTTATCAGCCTTATCCCAAAGGATTGTGGGAGACTTCTGTCGGACTCTTTACACACTATTTGTGACTCATCACGGGCTGTGAATAAACACAATTCACAGCCGTTGAAATAAAAAGAGGTTTTTGGGACTAATCGGGTGCTTTTTACTGTCTCAGGAAGCCTAGGTCAGAAAACCTGATGTACACTTTTAAGGGAAAAAGAGCTTCTGTTTGCATCAAATAAACTGAGTTTCTCCAGCATCAGTCTTTTCAGTTAATGCTTCAACATAAAGAAAAGGCACCTGGGGGACATCCGAGCTGAGAGAAAGCACTTCTCCGCTTCCATTCAGGACCGCAAACGTATTCCGGCTGGGAAATCTTCCGATAAACCTGACGATGGCCGACTTTATAGGTAGTTCTGCAAAACCACAAGGCCCAAAATGTGAACTTATTGGATATTTTGAGGAGAAAAGCAGATCGGAAAGGGCCAGTTGCCCAGCCCAAAAATACTTGTTTATACATACATTGTATAAGCTGCCCGACTCCCAGCATCTTTGGGAGGTTTGCAAATAAGGAGAATTAGAATAGAGCTGGAAGGGACCTTGGAGGTCCTCTAGTCCAGCCCCATGCTCAAGCAGGAGAACCTATATTATTTCAGATAAGTGACTGTCCAGTCTCTTCTTAAAAAGAGGAGGTGATGAAGCACCCACAATTTCTGGTGGCAGGCTGTTCCACTGGTTAATTGTCTCACTGTTAGGAAGTTTCTCCTTAATTCCAGATTGCTTCTCTCCTTGATCAGTTTCCATCCATTGTTTCTTGTCCTGCCCTCTGGTGCTTTGGAGAATAAGTTGACCCCCTCCTCTATGTGGCAGCCCCTCAAGTACTGGAATACTGCTATCATGCAACCCCTACTCCTTCTTTTCTCTAGACTGGCCAAACCCAAATCCTGCAGCCGTTCCAGAGTGGGTTTCAGCAGGTTCTGACCAGTTCTGGAGAACCAGTAGTGGAAATTTTGAGTAATTCGGAGAACCGGGAAATACTACCTCTGACTGGCCCAGACCCCATCTATTCTCTGCCTCCCAAGTCCCAGCTGATTGAGAGGAAATGGGGATTTTGCAGTAACTTTCCCCTGCCACGCCCACCAAGCCACACCCACAGAACGGGTAGTAAAAACTTTAGAAACCCATAATTGGTTTAGTCTCCAGGCCTTTGATCATCTTAGTTGCTCTTCAAAGCAACATACAAAGAAGGAATCATTAACAACTCCAAAAACTACGTACCGGAGGGGAAATCCCCCTCTCTCACTCCAGGCAACTTCACAGGGTTATTCTTGTTGGGAAAATAAGAAGGAATCCATGTTCTCCTCGGCTATGACTAAGTTCTTGCTTTGCAACAGAAAGTTTCAGCTCAATAGCACCGTAGTCATAAGCCGAGGAGAACATGGATTCCTTCTTATTGCTAAGTGAGTTTCTAAGCGAGTTTGACCCACTTTACGACGTATCTTGCCACAGTTGTTAAGTTAGTAACATGGTTGCTACTAATTGGGAGTTGAAGTCCACACATCTCAAAGCTAACAAGGTGGAGAAACCCTGAATTAGATCGTGGGAAATCCCACTCTCTGGGGGGAGATGACTGAGGAGAAGGAAGCCAGCATTGCGTTCTTGGCTGGACCCAAAGGTTGCCCGCTATCTGCCCCACTGCCTTTCAATCAGCACTCAGCAGGGAATAAACCCGGATGAAACGGAGAATGCAAAATGCATTGCCTTTCTACCTTGACCCTCCCACACCCTGTAGCAGGGAGTTCCAGAGGTTCACTGCATGCCATTGAAGGCTACAGAAACTTCCACCTATGTCCTTTTTCATAATCTGTCATGGGTTGTAGGTGGAACTTGCCGAGGCCTTCAACGGCATGCAATGAACCTCTGGAACTCCCTGCTACAGGATGTGGGAGGGTCAAGACAGAAGCCCAGAACATCCCCTGGTTTCTCTCCATTCTCTTGCCTGTATGTACTGCAGAGCCTGTTTCCCGGACACAGGGTGAGGTAGGGCTGGTGGACCGGCTGGACAAGGGAGGCGAGGTAGGACACGGTGTGGCTTCTCATCTTCATGGAGCATCCACCACACCTATGGGTGAGAAGCACAAAAGGACAACGCAGGGTCAGCCACAAAGAGGGTGTGTTTTGCACCTTGGCAATCCGATGCCGGCCTCTGAGAGCAGAAAAGGGTCAATTAATGCCATGGGGTGGGTAGGGGTGGAGTCCAGAGGTCAGAAAAGTCAACAGAACACCCGAGATGGTGCAACTGACATGTTTTACCTTGTCAAATATGTGACACATGTAAAAAAAAAAAAACCAGGCAGAGTTTCCTCACACTGTCGTGACGGCTGCTTTGACGTATTTTTTCCCCCAAGTTAGTTATTTATTTATTGTATTTTAAATGCAAATAGTAAATTGCATTATGCAGATATTAGATAGGTACACAATTGATGTCTCTACAATATACAAGTGAAATTGTTAACACCACAATGATTTCACCTATACCTTAAAAGGTAAGGAAAATAAAAAATATAGCAATAGCACTTAGCCTTATATACTGCTTCACAGTGCTTTTACAGCCCTCTCTAAGCAGTTTACAGAGTCAGCCTCTTGCCCCAACAATCTGGATCCTCATTTTACACACCTCAGAAGGACGGAAGGCTGAGTCAACCTTGAGCCGATCCAGATCAAATTGCTGGCAGTTGGCAGAATTAGCCTGTAATACTGCATTCTAACCATTGAGCCGACTTCGGCCCCAGCTCTTAGGTAGAGATAGATAGATAGATAGATAGATAGATAGATAGATAGATAGATAGATAGATAGATAGACAGAGATAGATAGACATAGATAGACATAGATAGACATAGATAGATAGATAGATAGATAGATAGATAGATAGATGATAGATAGATAGATAGATAGATAGATAGATAGATAGATAGATAGATAGATAATAGAGATAGATAGATAGATAGATAGATAGATAGATAGATAGATAGATAGATCGACAGACAGAGATAGATAGACAGAGATAGACAGAGATAGATAGATAGATAGATAGATAGATAGATAGATGATAGATAGATAGATAATAGAGATAGATAGATAGATAGATAGATAGATAGATCGACAGACAGAGATAGATAGACATATAGACAGAGATAGATAGATAGATAGATAGATGATAGATAGATAGATAATAGAGATAGATAGATAGATAGATAGATAGATAGATAGATAGATAGATCGACAGACAGAGATAGATAGACAGATAGACAGAGATAGATAGATAGATAGATGATAGATAGATAGATAGATAGATAATAGAGATAGATAGATAGATAGATAGATAGATGAAAGAAAGAAAGAAATAGCACTTAGACTTATATACTGCTTCACAGTGCTTTTACAGCCCTCTCTAAGCAGTTTACAGAGTCAGCCTCTTGCCCCCAACAATCTGGGCCCTCATTTTACCGACCTCGGAAGGACGGAAGGCTGAGTCAACCTTGAGCCTGGTGAGAATCGAACTGCTAAATTGCAGACAGACAGCAGTCAGCTGAAGTAGCCTGCAGTACTGCATTCTAACCACTGTGCCACCATGGCTCGAAGTAGCGGAAGAAGTGCCCCTTGCTCTCACCCATCTCCTGGGTGGGTGAGGGCCATCTTTGGACCACCCAAGCTTGCCCCTGTTAGTTTTGCAGAAAACCTTGAAAGTGCTTGCTATAATTTAGTCAGCGCCGCCTCTTCACTGGATGAGGGCAAAGACTCACCTGGGGCTGGAGAAACTCTCAATGCTGGTGGCTGCCACGACCATGGCAAGCCCCATGGTCCACAGCCAGCCTCCCCTTCTCATCCTTTCCCCTTTGCTGGGCCTTTTCGCTACTGCATCATCATCATCATCGCCTGAAGGACGGAGGGAGGATTCCCACGAGCGACTGCAACAGAGGTCGGTTCAGCAAGCTAGACTAGAAGCAGAAACAATGAAACAAATTGAATGGGGGGAAAAAAAGGAGCTTTAGCAAGTTTCATCAAATTATCATCAAAAAGAAAATTTTTAAAAAAGCAGCAATTAATCGTGCTGTTTTTTGGAAACAAGCAACCCAATTTCTCTTAATTTTTAACTTTACGTGTATCGCACTTTGCAAATATTTACAATTTGGAGAGATCGCGAAGGGGTTGTGTAATTCCCAGGCATTTACATGTGAGTAATCATGCCAGAACGCAAGTTTTAATTTTGCACACTGATTTTTTTCCCCCTTGCCTGGCTTGAAATTCTTGAGTGTAAAAGGAGCCAAAAAAAAGAAAAAGAAAAAAAAAGAAAATAGAATGATTATTTTTTAATGAAGAAAAATAGTAACTCGGAATGTTTATTAGCAACAACTTTTAGCCCAGATTGCCGATACAAACGGTGTGAATCCTAAAATTGGGCTCATGGCCGCATGTACAGGATCTCAATGCCATCACAGGAAATCATGTATTAAAAGGGTTTAAGCAACAATGAGCAAAGACAGGCATCGTTCTGCAGAAATCCAGGCATCGGGCCCCTCCGGCAACGACTCCTGTTTTCACGGCTATTCTCACAACCCCTTTTTTCCTGCGGAAAATCGAAGGCAAGAATGGAAGCGGTTTTGAATTGCCAGCACCGAACCCCAAATATTTGCAAACCCATTCTTAAGTAACAGCCACATATTTAAGCACTGAATCAATACATTCTAACAGGGGGCTTATTACACAAACAGACACACAAACCAGTTTTTTTTTTTAATGAAACAATGCCATTCCAAACATCTGCAAGCTATTAGTAGTTGCAGCTAACAATAGCAAAGCAAAAGATAAGCAAGTATTTGAATCTTTTTTTTTTGGTTTTGCATGGAATCCGCGGCAATAATTCAACTCACCACACATTTTATTGAAAATTAGATGAAACGCAGGCCCCGGGAGCCCCAAAGAGGAAAAAAAATGAGCTTTTTAAGAATGAGATCCCACGCAACCAGCCACTGCTGACAAATGAAGCAGAAAGAAAAAGGAATTTTTTGCACCCAGAAACATCTCTTCAGGGTCACGAGCCCTGCTGCTCTCTGCTGGCCTCCTCAGAAGTCAAGTCCACCCAGATCAATGAGCTGGCTTTGAACAGATGAACAGAGTTGGAAGGGACCTTGTAGGTCATCTAGTCCGACCCCCCGTCCAAGCAGGAGATCCTAAATCATTTTCGACAGATGGCTTCTAATGCTGTCCTGGAATGCAGCCCAAGGCAGAATCCTACCTATCCACCCTTGGCAAAATTGCATCCTTTATCAGGAGAGGGGAGAATATTTCTTGCACAGAGGGTTGAAATGAGTGTTTTCTGGGTGTTTTCATCATTTATTTATTCATTTTAGCAATAGCAATAGCACTTAAGACTTCACAGTGCTTTTACAGCCCTCTCTAAGTGCTTTACAGAGTCAGCATATTGTCCCCAACAATCTGGGTCCTGATTTATTTTAGAGAATTTATATAGCCACCTACTTGCTCACAGCGACTCTAGGAGGCTTACAGACAACAAAAACACAACGTAGAAAAAAATAAAAATAATAAAACGTAAAATAACAAAAAAGAAAAAAAAACTCGGCTACACCACACACTCAAATCAACCATCCTTCCCACTCTGGATTCCCCAGACCACATCATCTGACAAAATCACATCTTGAGGGCCAACCGAAGAGTGTCAGAATGGGGGTCAGTCTAATTTCTGAAGGGATGATGTTCCAGAGGGAGGGAGCCACCACAGAGAAGGCCCTTCTCCTGGGTCCCACCGAACATACTTCCTTCAGCGACGGGACCCGCAACATTCCTGTGGGTCGGGTAGATGTGACCAGCAAGAGACGGTCCCTCAGATAAGCTGGTCCCAAGCCATGAAGGGCTTTAAAGGGGACAACCAGCACCTTGAATTGCACCCGGAAGCAAATCGGCAACCAATGCAGCTCCTGCAGAAGAGGTGACACATGTGCACACCGAGGTCTGCACAAAACCATGCGTGTTGCTGCATTTTTGACCAAGTGAAGCTGTTTAAGGTCAGCTCCATGTAGAGCGTGTTGCAATAATCAAGACGGGAGGTGACGTGATCATGATATTACCTGGGTTGAGTAATGAAACATCTTCAAGAAAACATCTCAGCTCAGAGACCACCAAGGACCACTCCCATGCATTTATTTCGGCCTTTTAAATATGCTGGATTTCAGTTCCCCAGACAATGGAGGCTTTGAAGAAGGCTGTTCTTACCATTATGTGGCAATAAGCCTCAATCATTCAAACCCAGGTTGTTGATCATGGTTTGGCAAAAACAACCACCATCGTCTAGCTTTGTGCATCACGTCACGTCAAACCATACAATGGGGTTCCACCTGAGTGGGTGACTTCAGGACATCAACCCTTTGGCTTAAGTCAGATATTGCTAGTTTCCTCAAATACAGTAGTGGCCAAAAATTGCGGAAACCTTTTGGGAAAAGTGTATTTTCTAAAACAAGCTAATAACACCACTTTTTTATTTTGAGAAGTACCATAAAATTATACATCAATGGAAGGATAATTTAATCAAGAATGTAATGCAATCACTTTTATGAAGTATTTGCTATTAGAATAGCAGTTACAGTATAAAGAAGAAAAGTGAAACACGTAGAAAAAACAAGATATACAAAAATTATCACCATAGAAAAAAACGAGATATACAAAAATGATCACCATGTCAGTTAATCCCTAGTTGGGTAACCTTTAGCATGAATTACGGCCTTACAACGTCTTCCCATGGAGTGAACCAAGTCTTTTAGTTCTGCAGCTGTTATAATGTGAAACCAAGATTGAATGACTGCTTCTATTAACTGGGTTTTATTGCTGGGTCACTTCTGACTAACACGTTTCTTTAGTCGGAAAATCCATAGATTTTCCATTGTTGAAGGTCTGGGCTATTCCCAGGCCACTCCAGCAGTAGAATAGGATTATCTTGAAACTCCAAAAAAAAAAAAAAAGTGCTGTTATTAGCCGTCAAACCTCAAAAATACACTTTTCCCAAAAGGTTCCCACAATTTTGGCCACTTTTCCTCTCTGTGGTCTTGAATGAAATGATCTCTGACTCCAACTGGACATTTGTGTTGAAGGTAGAGATGCTTCGTCTCCAAGGATTGGCCAAGAGACACCATTGCAATGAGTTACCCACCCACCCCATCCTCCTCCGAAGTCTTTCCCGTTCCCAAATCAAAATTCACCCCTTCGAGAAGGCTCATTCTATTCACCTCTGCAAATTTCCACTTAGATGTTAATCAATTTTGAAAGACCGGGGAAAAAACTTGTCCCAAGTTAGCTGTGAAATTAAAAACAAGCTTGCTGACATGAAAAAGGAGAACCTGTATTGTCTTTTCTCCGACAATCCCCTTCTCTCCGGAGGAGGAAAACAAGAAAGTTTTTAAAAGTTAAGGGTTTTTTTTAATACCATTCCCAGGGCTAAAATCTAAATAATTACACAACCAAAGATCAAACCAAGCTGAACCCAAGTCCACGTTCTCACAACCTCCTTCATCTAGGCTAAAAACGGGGCTGCGTTATTTGAAGGGCTGTTGTGGGTCGGAGGTTATGTGATTGGAAAAAGCACGTGAAATTAATTTTGTCTTGTGAAGTTGGGCTAAAGCAGTGTTTCTCAACCTTGGAAGCTTGAAGATGGGTGGATTTCAACTCCCAGAATCCCCCAGCCAGCGCTGCTGGCTGGGGGATTCTGGGAGTTGAAGTCCACCCATCTTCAAGCTTCCAAGGTTGAGAAACACTGGGCTAAAGGTTTAGCAAGTTGCATGAACCCCAAGAGAAGCAATCCTCGTTTGCTATAAAAGACAAACTGGCTTTGTAACACAATGCTAGAGAATGAACAAAGCTGAAGAAACCCAGTTGTGGCTTCACATGAGCTGAGAGACCAACTTCAGATGGGGAATGGCCATCAGATCACTTCCCTGGTAGCCATATTGGCTGAGATGGATGCCCAATGGTCACAGATTCAAACAGTATCTGGACCACAGGAAATGAAGCAATGAACCTAGACTTCTAGGTGTCCAATCAATCTGTGCTGGCTGAGAATTTTGGGAATTGAAGTCCACAGGTCTTATAGTGGCCAAGGTTGGACATCCTTGACCTAAAAGAAGGAAAATTCCTGTCTGGATCAGATCAAGGTAGCCCAGCTCTAATGCCTTTTCTTGCCAGCCTGCAATGAAAAGAAGGACTTAGGGGTGACATGATAGTAATGTTCCTATATCTAAGGGATTGCCACAAAGAAGAGAAGGTCAACCTATTATCCAAAGCATCTGAAGGCAGGACAAGAAGCAACGGATGGAAACCAATCAAGGAGAGAAGCAACTTAGAACTGACAGTGAGAACAATTAATAAGTGGAACGACTTGCCTCCAGAAGTTGTGAATGCTCCAACACTGGAAGTTTTTAAGAAGAGACTGGACAATCCTTTGTCTGAAATGGCATGGGATTTCCTGTCTGAGCAGGGGGTTGGACTAGAAGACCTCCAAGGCCCTTCCAACTCTGTTATTTTGTTATCCCTATCTGCCACCAGGCTCTTTGCAAACTGCCTTGGGGTGCCCCTCCACATGTTGCAAACAGCCCTGTTCCCAGACAACAAAGCCATTCCTTGGCCAGGCTGAGCAGCAGTGCCTAAGGAGCAAAGCAGACGAGCGGATCTATGGGGCGGCAATCCAGAAGGAGACTCTGAAACCTAAGGCCAGAGGGAGGACAACCTCCGATGTCCCCAGGATCTGCAAGCATCAGAACTGAGAACTGAAGAAGCTTCTTCAGATCTGTAAGTGAGGAAAGCCCGTCGCCAGTGGCTGAAATGCCAGCAAGTGGGGGCCAATTTGGAGCATGAGGTGCCCGTGGCATTCCTTGAACTCTTGTTGACGAATGTGAGAAGCTTCCAAGCAGAATGAAACAAAAAAAAGTGGCAGCTTCTTTGTAGCTCTGCAACCACCTTAACCGGCGGTGTCAAACTGGATTTTTTAGAGGGCGGAAAAACATTGTAGTTGTCCTCCGCAGGCCAGCCTGGGGGGTGGGGAGAGAAGGAGACATAACAGACGCCATCCTGCAGTACCCTGCCGGCCAAAACAGGGCACGGGGGGGGGGGTGCCACCACATGCCCCGTATTGGCTGGCAGGTTGCTGCAGGAGGCTGTCCAGGCCAAAACGGGGCATGTGGGGGTGTTTCGGCTGCAGAGTGCTGCAGGAGGCTGTCCAGGCCGAAAATGGGGCATGGGGGGCTGCCCGGGGCCTCCTCATGCCTCATTTTGGCCGGCAGGGTGCTGCAGGAGGCTGTCCAGGCCGAAAATTGGGGCATGCGGGGGCTGCCCGGGGCCTCCTCATGCCTCATTTTGGCTGGCAGGGTGCTGCAGGAGGCTGTCCAGGCCAAAAACGGGGCATATGGGGCCGGCCACAGCCTCCCCACACCCTGTTTTCACTAGCAGAGGCACCGTGGGCCAGTCCTTTGCTATTTCCAGGCTGGCCCATGGGCCACATCTAAGCGCCCCGGAGCTGAAACTGCAGGAGTTCTGCATCGCCCTACAGCTTTCCAACCCAGGACAGAATTAAAAGAAATTTAGGATTAATTTCCAAGTGTCTCCAAGCAGGGAGGTCGCCGCCGTCTGCTGAATTTGTGCACACCATTCTTCCTTTTAAAAGTGTGGTGCAAACTCAACCATTATGGCATGCAAAATGGGGATTGCGGCAGCTATTGGCGTGAACCCAGCCTACCCCCACCTGTTCAGCAAGCCAAGTCGTATTTGAGTTATTTCATTTTTACTGCGGATGTTTTGAGCATAAGTTCTTCTGGCTAAGTGGCTGAGAAGCTTTTGGATTGCGGTGGACTGAAAATACGTAATAATTAAAAACTGGGCGAGTTAGTTCACACATTGCACCGTGTCAAAGTTTGCTGTAACGATGCTAAGTTTGTTGAACACACCAGAATGGCTGGATATCCGGCCAGGATCATAAACCATGATTAACAGGCTGCAGAGACTGGATTCATACAAAATGCTATGCCAGAATCGCTTTACCTGCAAACAAACAAGCCTGAGAAATATGGACGTATGAAACACATATACAGGGAGTCCTCGACTTATGACCATTTTTCACACTTACGACCATTGCAAGCATCCCTACGGTCATGTGATCAAAATTTGGATGCTTGGCAACTGATTCATATTTATGACGGTTGCAATGTCCCGGGATCATGTGACCTTCCAACAAGTAAGGGGAAGCCTGATTCATTTAACAACCATGTTACTAACTTAATCACTGTGGTGATTCACTTAACAACTGTGGCAAGAAAAGTTGTAAAATGGAGCAAAACTGACTTAACAAATTTTTTCACTTAACAGCAGAAATTTTGGGCTCAATTAGGGTCGTAAGTTGGGGAATGCCTGTACCATTCACTTAATGACCGTTCACAGTTACAACGGCACTGAAAAAAGTAATTTACGACCATTCTTCACACTTATGACCATTGCAGCATCCCCAGGGTTGCTTGATTTACATTCGGATGCTAAACGATTGTTTCACATTTATGACGGTCGCAGTGTCCCGGGGTCACGTGATCCCTTTTTGCCACCTTCTGACAAGCAAAGACCATGGGGGGAAGTCCGATTCACTTAACAACCTTGTGACTAATTTAACAACTGCAGTGATTCGCTTAACAAACGGGGCAAGAAAAGTCGTAAAACGGGACAAGCCTCATTTAACAAACGTCTCACTTAACAAGATAAATTGGGGGAGGCGCTCAATCTCGGTCGTAAATCGGGGAAGACCCGTAGTAAGAAAAAAATGCATCTCCGACAGTCGACTTTTTCCCCCCTGGTGACAAAAGCCCCTAAGTTATCAGCTGCCCGTTGACCAGTTCAGGTCCTCCTTTTGCGCGGCCTCGGCAGGTCGGGAGCCTCGGGCGCGTCCTTCGGGCGGCGGGATTGCCCAGCCCAACCGGCGCCCGGCAGCTCCGAAAACGGACTTTGCCAAAAGAAATCCAAACTTTTCGCTCCCACGCTCCGCTCGGCTGCGCCTCCCCATCGCCGCCGCTAGAGGGCGCCCCCTTCGAGATCGCTTTTTTAATACCTGGAGTTTGAGAAACTCGGGTCCGGGGACCGAAGCCCCTTCAATGGGGATGATGGGCTTCCCCCCCCCACCCACCCCCGCTCCACCAGCCGTGGGTAGCCCCCCCACTTCCCGAAAGACGCCCCCCTCTCCGTAGGCGTCCCACTCTTCCCAACTCGGCTGCCCATTGTCTCAGCATCCCCCCACCCCGACGCCCCCCCTCCCGAAAGACCCTCCTGGGGAGACGTCCTACTCTTCCCCACTGCGCCCCATTGACTCAGTATCCCGACGCCCCCCCCCCCCCCAAGGCCGCCCCCCCGCCCCCCTCCCCCCCCCCCCCCCCCCCCGGCCGCCCCCCCCCCTTCCCCCCCCCCCACGACCCCTCATGCAAACCTGGTTTGCTAGTTCCTTCGCCCAAGGGAAATTGGGGAGGGGGCGGCAAGGCAGCGAGGCAGGCAAGCGCCGCCGGAGGTTGGACTGGCTTGTCCCGCTCTGACCTCCCCGCTGCAGACGGCGGGGCTTGCGGGAGGGGGGATTTCCCCCTCCCCAAGTCCCCCCCAATGCGCCCGGCCCGGGGGTCTCGTCTCTCTCCCTCTCCCTGCCCGGCTCCTGACCTCCAAGGATGCGCCCGCGGGAAGGTTCGCCCGCCCAGTTTGGGCTGCTCTCAACTGCAAGGAGGAAGCGGGTCTTTCTCGTGTGTCCCCCCCCCGCCCGCTTTTTCCTTCCAGAGAGGGAAGAAAATACCCCCCCTCTCTCTCCTTTCTTTTGGGGGTGGGAGGCAGGCAAGACAGAAGCGGGTCTCTCCCGGATGCAGCAGAGCCAGGAACCCGGGTCAGGAACGCAGCGGAGGAGAGATGCTTGGAAGGGGTCCTGGCTCCCCCCATCTCCAGATCTGGGGGTAGAGCCCCATTTGGGGAGGTGGGCTCCAACTGCAACCAGGCGCTCCTCTCCCTTACCAAAGCCCCTTGGCCCTGGCATTCTGGCAGGAAGATTTTCTTAGGTTTCCTGGTGGTCTTCCATCCTAAATTTGGCCAGCCCCCCCCCCCATTTTTCCAAAGTCCCAGTAGCTTCCTTCTGTAGAGCGCATCTCCTGGGGGATAGGGACCTAGATATCTCCAGAGGTTTTCTTTTGCAACCATACAGATGTGACTCCCTTTGGGCGTGGGGGCAGGAGTTACTTCCCAAGATAGTATACAGCTGTAGTGGGTTTCCTGGTGGTCTCCCATCCAGACTACAATGTTAACCTTCTTTGGGGCTCTTGATGCCCCCCCCTTCCCGCTGCTACTGGTACAGTCAAGGAACAATCATTGTGGTAAAGCCCTCTCCCCCCCAGGTCTCATGCCACCTTAGTTCGCGCATTAAAAATTGTAGCATAACTGCTTAATTTTTGGAGAGTTTCTGGCACACGGCGCACTAACCTTGTTTGTGCCCAGCTCTCATACTAAGCAAGGTGTGCTTGATTGTGGTTTGTTGTATGAGTCACCAGTATATCCCTTCCGCCAGATTCAAGCAGAACACTGCCAAAATGCCCTTCCAGCTCTGGGTTCATAAGAACCCCAAAAGTTCTTATACACACACACATATATATATACATATAGAATTTAGAACCATACACACACACACACACACACACACACACATATATACACATATAGAATTTAGAACCATATATATACACACATATATATAAACACACACACAAGTAAATTTACAGGAATTATTTAATTTCTGTTTGAATTAAATGTAGAGAAATTAATTAAACCCCATCAACATAATCGGCTCCTTGCATTTAATTTATCACATTTATTTAATTCAAGTGCAAGTTAGAAACAATCAATTGTTTTCCTATGTCCAAGGGCAACCTTCGGTCTCTCTACCCCACAGCCTTGCCTCCTAGAAGGTGTAAATTGTAGCTACTATTTAATGGGGCTTGTTTAGGACTGCAGCTTAAAAGTGGTTAACAGCACTTAGCCAGGATACGCCTATAAAGATCAGCTGGCAAACTGAACATAAGCCATGATTTGGAAATAGGCTTCTCTGATGCGGTTTTTAAGGACTTCGGGCATCTCCCTTAAACCAGTTTCCTTCAAATTTTGATTCAAGAAATCCCAGGATAACTGTAGTTACTTACTATCATCTTCCCCTACCTTTTGCCCATTCCGGCTGGGGATGATGGGAGAGGAAATTTAGCAGTTGTAGGGAGGGTGGATTAGAAATATTAAAAAAATGCAGCTCCTGGAAACCTGGAGTTCTTTTAAAATGGACAGCAGAGGAAATAAACTTAATTTCAGGCCTTACCTGTTTCTGACTTGGTCATTCATCATTAAACAGAACTTGTTCCTTTTCAGATATTTTGATTTCTTATTGCTGGAGCAAAAAAACAAAAACACAGATATTAAAGTGTCCATTCAGCACATGAAGTCATCCCCGGAGGCCAATGTTTGTCTGTTCCCATCTTGACCACCTTAAGATGGCTAAACAGATGTTGGTTGAATTTTCAGGTTTTTAAACACACAGGAGCAAAATCAGTCATTATTTTTCTTTTTTCTTTTAATTTTTCCTTTTTTTCTCCCTGGTCTTGCTTTGTCCAGTTCAGTTTCCTTCCTGCTTGCAGTCTTTTAGAAAAACCCATCGCATAATTATTTTTGTTTTCTTTAATCCTAATAAAGTGGTGGGTTTTTTTTAACTATCAAGGTTGAAACTGGGGGCTTCCCTCTAAAGGGCCTGGTGGCTCAGCAGACTGATATCACTGTGATTAACACCAGCTGCCTGCAATTACTGCAGGTTCGAATCTCGCCAAGGCTCAAGGTTGACTCAGCCTTCCATCCTTTCTAAGGTAGGTAAATTGAGGATCCAGTTTGTGGGGGCAATAAATTGACTTTGTATAAAATATATACAAAAGTATGAAGGCTATTGCTTAACGCATTGTAAGCCGCCCTGAGTCTCCGGAGAAGGGCGGCATATAAATCAAATTTTTAAAAAAATTAAAAAAAATAAAGTAAGCTGAAGACAGCACATTCCATCAGAAACAAAAGTAACTGGGAATAATACAAAATCATATTCTCAGGAAAAAGGGGAGCAAAGAATCTGAGGGGCGGGGGAAGTGAGTGACATTTTAGCCTAGGGTCATCTCATTAGGCTTTTCATGTCTGATGTCAGACACCGCCTAGAATCCTTTGTGATTGGGGTGGATTATAAATACTTTGAAACCGTTGCAATTTGCTAAGATTTTAGGCTGCCTGGTTAAGGCAAGAAGTGTGGGAGAAAAGAGGGAAGCCCAGAAGGAAGTGTGTGAAATTCTCTCCACCACAAAGACAATTCCCAACAATTAACCCACAACTACACCACGTTCATTCCTCCTGAAACGAAGCCAAGCAAAACCTCAGAAGTAAAAAAAAAAAAAAAAAATGATGCTGTAGAAACAGAGGCAGCCTTACAATAGGATCCGTGAGTAAAAGGCGTGTAGGTAGTGCAAGAAGAGGAACACACCTACTCTCTTACTCTCAGGTAAAAGAGTGCAAAGAGAGCAAAGCAAATATTTGGAATTTGGTGTAGGGTCTGCTTCGGCCGGGGGTTGGACTAGATGACCTCCAAGGGTCTCTTCCTTGTTAATCTCTATCTGTATAGTTTAAGCCCTGCAACTGAATGGAAAGTAGCAGACACGGCTGGGAAGGGAGGATGGAGAGATACAAATCACATCCAGAAACAAAAACGTTTTTCTTGGGCAAATTTTGGAGCTGGGAAGGAGAAAAAAATGGATTGAAATTGTTCCTTTTCTTCTCCCCTAAAACTCAGCTCTTCTGTCCAAGTTGTAGGACAGCTATGTCCCTTGTCCCAAGACCCTTTTTTTGGCAAGAGTCCTGCCAAAAAAACCAGCCTGCTATTTTCTTCGGGAGGGAGAGAGAGAGAGCAGTTTATTTTATTTTATTTTATTTTATTTTATTTTATTTTATTTTATTTTATTGCACCTTTGAAATATGCTAAAAGATTTCTTCTTCAAGTCAGGAAAGAAATCAAATTGCCTGCTTTTTCAGAAAGGGAAAAAAAAATCCCTTTATTTAGGATTTCCAGGAATTTTCAAAACCGAGGGGGTGAGGCATCCGTTGAAATGAAAAATCACAACGAAACAGCCTCAATCTTTTCTATTCCTTTCAGACCTTGGAAAAACAAAGATGAATTTCAAATATATATATATATCCCATGGGAAAATGGGAGTCATTTCTAAAGAATAAAGTTTTTGTTTGTTCTCTCTCATTTCGGTGCTGGACATTGCTATGATCTTGCAGTTAGTGGCTGGGTTTACGCCTGGTCTTAAGCCATGGTTTGTACGTTGCTTATTGAATAAGTCACAATAAGTTGGCTGAGTTGATACCACTCATTAAACTATAAACTACCCTGTTTCCCCCAAAGTAAGACATCCCCTGATAATAAGCCCAATCGGGTTTTTTGAGTGCATGGCAATAAGGCCAAGCGCTTATTTCAGGGTTCAAAAAAATATAAGACAGGGTCTTATTTTCGGGGAAACACAGTATGCTTTCACAGTGAACTATAAAACAGATTATTAGGGCAAAAACCTCCCATGCTGCTGGGAACTCTGTCAAAATTAGATGGGGGAGTCAAAATCCTTGGGGACAAACAGACATCCCAGGCAAATTCTCCCTGGACAATCAGGACTTAAAATAGAGCTGGGAGGAACCTTGGAGGTCTTGTCTAGTTCCCTGCTCTACCTTGTCTACCTATACTATTTCAGATAAGTCCTGCCTTAGACCATACGTGGAAACATGTTTCTTAAGGCGAAGGAGAGGGTGCTGCTTTCCAAGCCCCATATTTTCATAATATCCCACACTATAAAAAAGAGGTTGAAACTCTAGAAAGAGTGCAGAGAAGAGCAACCAGGATGATTAGGGGACCGGAGGCTAAAACATACGATGAATGATTACAGGAACTGGGCCTGGCTAGTCTGGTGAAGAGAAGGTCCAGGGGAGACAGGATAGCATCTTCCAATATTTGAGGGGCTGCCACAGAGAGGAGGAAGGGGGTCAAGCTATTTTCCAAGGCATCCGAAGACCTTGGACAAAGAACAATGGATGGAATTTTCTGACAGTGAGAGCAATCAACCCGTGGAATTGAAGTTGCATTCAGAAGTTGTGGGAGCTTCATCACTGGAGGCTTCCAAGAAGAGACTGGACTGCCATCCATCAGAAATGGCGTAGGGTCTCCTGCTTGGGCAGGGGGTTGGACTAGATGACCTACATGGTCCCTTCCAACTCTGTAAATCTATTTAAAAAACATCTGTTAAACCATCAAGTCCCAAAAGGTGGGCTGGGACATAGAAGGCTGATCCTAGGCACAGAAAAAGATTTCCCAGCTGTTGTACAGCACACAGTTTCTCCGGCACGGATGGCCGTGCCTGGGAACACTTCAAGGCAGTCCAGACGAGTCCAAAGTGGCAGCTGCCAAGCCATTGGAAGCACCCCGTGATGGAGCTGTTGGGGGACCTCGCCTGCCCTTGTTCATCCCCAGAATACTGGAAAGTAGAACCAGATCTCCCCTAAGCCAGAACACAAACCGTGCCTACCTTCATAAGCAGCTTTGAGGTTGGGCTAGCTTAGCTTAATAGGTCCCTTTAGGACTTGGGACATGGCATGAAGCTAGAAGATAGGCTCACTTAGAAACCAGGATAAGCCTTTTGTGCCAATCCAGTCCTGGTCTTCCCAACGAACCTGGGCCATTTCAGTTCCTTGGCTTCACATGCAGCCTCGGGTTCAGGAGTGCTGTCCCTCTCGCCTTCAATCTGGCTTGGATGTGAATCCAATTAGGTAAGGCACTAAAAAGCTCAGCTCCATCCGTTAGGAACCCGAGTTTCTCTCTGCCATTCTGGCTCCAGCCGAGACCCGAATACCAGATTCACACAACGGATCAACCTAGCCAAAGATTGAGAGGAAGACCCAACTGCTAAGCAAAAACGTAGAAGTGGCGTTCAGAGTAAAGTTCATAACCTTGATAGGTTCAAAACAGTCGGGTAAAGAAGGAGCAACTGCATTTACATAAGCCTGCTCAATTCAGGGATTTTTTTCTCTCTCTCTTTGGGGCTAAATGGGTTGTGTGAACCCAGCCTGTGGAGCATTGTGTGAATCGCAAAAATGGGCTTTTTTCTGCAACCATATGAAATGTGTGATGTGAAGCCAACCCAACCCAACTTGTTCTGAAGAGCGTCTCCTCTGCAAATCCGTTCTACTAGATGCAAATGTCCTCACTTGAGCACAGGTGGAGAATAAACCAGCAATGGAGACCCACCACTGCATAGAAGTCCCTCCAAAGCCCCACATCGTAGGAAACCTGACCCATCAACTCTCATACCTACCTGGGATCTTCTCGTCTTGTCTTCTCTGGTGGGCCTGGGACGGGGCTTCCTCTGCCCAGCTTTCCCCACCAGCTCTCCTGGCGTCCTGCCGCCACCTGACCAAGTTCTGCTGAACTCTGCTTCTTCATGGTTCAAGGCCTCCCCACCCTGGTTGGGGCTGACTCTGGGATTTCTACTCTGCTTCTGCTGTCCAAGTCACGGAACAATGGTGGTCAGCAGCAATGACGGTCCCTTTGGAAGTGGAAGGGCGGCTTTTTATGTCCTCCTTCCTGTATAAATCAGGCCTGGGATGGACAATCCAGGCAGGAAGTGTTGTGAATGTTGGTGCCTGATAAGGAGATGGGCGAGCAGAAGCAAACACCGAACAGCTCAGCAGGGAATTTGGTACGAAACAGCCATCTTATGCCAAAAGGAAGAGGCGGCTGGGGGATTGGGAGGAGAGGAGGGGGGGCAGGTTCGATCAGGGAGGGGCTCTGCATACAGAAGCCACTTCAGGAATGCCCGGTTTCCCCCACTTGACTCAGGAGGAAGCCATGAGACGGGAACAGCTCTCTCCACCTGAACTTCTAACTTGGTTTCTCCTAACCAGCTTCTGAGAAAGGGCAGATTTCTGCCTCAGATTCCGTAGCTAGGAGGGGTCTCCCTGGGGACATCTATCTTAAATGAGGGTGCCCTCAATGGGGAGACTCTTGAGTCCTTGAGTCACCACTGCCTGGGTTGGTTGAAGCTTAGCAGGTGGGGTGAGCCTAGCTGGGGAATAACCTGGACCTCACACCTTAGAGGAGTGCAGGGCTCCTCAAACTTGGCAGCTTTAAGACTTGTGGACTTCAACTCCCAGAATTCTCCAGCCAGCTAAGCTGGCTGGAGAATACTGGGAGTTGAAGTCCACAAGTCTTAAAGCTGCCAAGTTTGAAGACCTCTGGAGTAGTGTTTCTCAACCTTAGGAACTTTTAAGCAGACCTCGATTCCCAGAACGCTGGCTGGGGAATTCTGGAAGTTGAAGTCCACACCTCTTAAAGTTGCCAAGATTGAGAAACCCTGCTATAGATGCCCTGCATAGCTTAGCTATATTTTTCCCCCCAGTTTGGATCTCAAGAAAGCAACGTTTTGGATCCCTGATTTGTTTCCCCACTTACACAAAGAGGCAGGTTATGGTTGCAGGGTGTGGACAAAAAAAACCCACTCAAGGTGATGGCATAGAGTGCCGTCAAGACTCCCCACCTAAAGAACAATTCTTAGTTGTATAAACAGGGCATGGACTCAAAATCACATGAAGTGTTAGCACCGCTTTATGTTAGGCCACACCTGGAATGCTGCATCCTGTTTTGGTCACCACATTACAAAAAAGAGGTTGAGACTTTGGAAAAAGGTGCAGAGAAGAGCAACTGAGATGATCAAAGGCCCGGAGACTAAAACATATGAAGAACGGCTGCAGGATTTGGGTCTGGCTAGTCTAGAGAAAAGAAGGACTGAGGGGGGTGGGCGACAGGATAGCAGTCTTCCAGTATTTGAGGGGCTGCCACAAAGAAGAGGGGGTCAAATTATTTTCCAAACAATCAGAAGGCAAGAAACAATGGAGGGAAACTAATCAAGGAGAGAAGCAATCTGGAATTAAGGAGAAACTTCCTAACAGTGAGGACAATTAACCAGCTTGCTTCCAGAAATCGTGGGTGCTTCATCACTGGAGGTTTTTAAGAAGAGACTAGACAGCTCCACGTGTCTGAAATGGTCTAGGGTCTCTTGCTTGAGGGGGTTGGACTAGAAGACCTCCAAGGTCCCTTCCATCTCTATTTTGATTGATTGAACGGAGAAGTGCCAATTGCAACAGCTCCTTGACACCATTGTAAAGGAGGAAGTAAAGCAGATGGATGGATACCGGTCCCACTTGGCTGCCAGAGTCATAATTTGATCCTCCAAATATGGTCACTGATCACGAGGAGTGCACATTTTGCAAATTTGCTAGCGATTAGCGAAAACAATGGTCCCCAGCCTGGTACCTTTCCAGAACTTTGGGGAGGTTGCCAGTTCAGGGAACAGGATGAAAGAATAATCTTCTCAAATGCCCGCAGAGCTTGAGGATAAATGCAAACTAACTGCATCTCAGAAAACCACTTCCTGAGCTGTTGCACAATTCCAGAGAAGCCAGAAATAAGAAAGAATCGCTTAGCTTGGGGAAACAGCTTTCTTCCTTTCTCATGATAGAAACTCGAGCGGGATATATATCTTTTCATCTGACAGATCGCAGGCACAGTCGGTTTGTTGAGAGCTCAGAAAGTACTGAAAAAGAAATAGACAAATATCCGTGCTGGGTAAATGGAGCCTCCACTTTCAGAAACAGTGTATCTGTGAATGCCCTATGGTGGAGACACTGCAGAGGATATGATGCCTGCCACAGTTAGCTGGACCAGATCACCCGGTATACTGGAGGCCACTGCAATTCGGCTTTCAGGAAGACTGATGCAAAATTGGACTTTATATAAATCACAAGGATTAACAGATTAATAGAGTTGGAAGGGACCTTGTAGGTCATCTAGTCCATCCCCCCATCCAAGCAGGAGACCCTCCACCATTTCTGACAGAGGGCAGCCCAGTCTCTTCTTGAAAGCCTCCAGGGATGAAGCTCCCACAACTTCCGAAGGCAACTTCTGTTCCATGGGTTGATTATTCTCACTGTCAGAAAAATTCCTCCTTATTTCTAGGTTGAATCTCTCCTTGATCAGTTTCCATCCATTAACCTTGTCTGGCCTTCGGGTGCTTTGGAAGATAGCTTGACCCCCTCCTCTCTGGGGAAGCCCCTCAAATATTGGAAGATGCTATCACTCCAGTGATGGGTTGCTCCTGGTTCACACCGGTTCACAAGAACCGGTAGTAAAAAATTTTAGTAGTTCGGAGAATCGGTACTAACAAATACTCTGTCTTACACATTGGCAACAAAAATCAGAACACCAAATACAAGCTGGGCGGATACGACCTCATAGATGACTCTCTCTGTCAAGGACCTAGGAGTGCTCATCTCAAACGATCTAAGCCCCAGAGCTCACTGTAACAACATTGCCCAAAAGGCATTAAGAGTTGTTAACCTAATCTTGCAAAGCTTCTTTTCCGGTAACATTGTACTGCTAACTAGGGCATACAAAACCTTTGCTAGACCAGTTCTTGAATACAGCTCATCTGCCTGGAATCTACACTGTATATCAGACATTAATACAATTGAGCGAGTCCAGAGGTATTTCACGAGAAGAGTCCTCCACTCCTCTGCTTGCAATAGAATCCCTTATGCCATCAGGCTTCAAATTTTGGACTTGGACAACCTGGAACTACGCCGCCTTCAATCTGACCTAAGCATAGTATACAAAATTGTCTGCTACAACGTCTTATCTGTCAACGACTTCTTCACCTTCAACCTCAACAATACACGGGCAAACAATAGATACAAACTCAAGGTAAACCGCTCCAAACTCGATTGCAGAAAATACGACTTCAGCAACAGAGTGGTCAATGCCTGGAATGCTCTCCCCGACTCCGTTGTTACTTCCTCAAACCGTCACAGCTTCAACCTTAAACTGTCTACCGTGGACCTCAACCCATTCCTAAGAGGTCTGTAAAGGGGGGCTTGCATAAGTGCACCAGCGTGCCTACCATCCCTGCCCTACTGTCCCCATTTATTCGTACTCATTTCCTGTGATCATGTCCATGTTTATACTTACACCTGTTTTCTCATACATGTTTGACAAACTAAAAAAAAAATAAAAAAATGTGTAGGGCAGTCCAACCCTTTTCTCCTTGGCTCTGTCCAGCGTTCGATGAGGTCCACAGACCGCTTTCGGCAGAAGTGCTGAATGAAGGAAGTCCCCTTCCATTCTTTATTCCAACTTTTCAGGGTCCATAAACACCCTAACCCTCCTGCTCACTAGCTTGGTTGGACTCCCTGGTCCCCCCGGTTCTCAAGAAAGTTTGGACTTCCAGATGGACCCTGAAGGGTGGGAAGTGGAGGTGAAGGCCCGGGTCTGCAGAGCTCCCCGAAGGTCCTATCAAGGGTTGGATCAATGCTTGCAATCCCATTGATATTGCAAGAAGAGAAGGTCACCTCAACTCCCACAACGGATGAATGGCTGCAAAAACTGATGGAGTTAGCAGAGATGGCTAAATTGACTGCTCTTCCACTTGGAAACCACTTCTGGACTTTGTGCTCGAGGTGGGGAAAAAAATGAAACTTTAATTTTGGGTTTTACCGATTAGGTAGGTTTGTTGTTATAGAAATGGCTAGTTTTTAGTACTATGAAAAAAGTTAAAAGTTGAGCGTAGATCTTAATGTCATATTCAACTGCACCAAAGGAGTTGGAAGTCAATGCCCTTTTTTTGGTCTTTTTCCCTTCCTTTCCCCCCACTATTTCCTTCCCTTTTTTCCTTCCCTAATTTCCCTAATCCTGCCTTTGTATTCTCTTTGTATGTTATATTATAAACTAATAAAACTATATACATAAAAAGATGCTGCAAGAAAAGAGAATCTGGGCAGGCGAGCTATTTGTGCAAAAAAAAAAAATTGTTTTTATCCCAAGCAGCAAAACAGCCTTCTCTCCTTCCAGTTCCCCTCACCCACCCGCCTGCCCACCCCTCCTCGGGTGCCCACAAATCCAGCATTCACAATTCACACTAAGCAGCAGCAAATCTCTGTTTCCTGTCCCTCTCCGGAAACAGGAAGTGAATGCAAGGGGGAGATTGGGAGATTGGGAGTTTGGAAGAACAATGCAAATCTCATCCTGGAGGAAACAGGAACTGCGTCAGGAAAGCAAAATCACTTTGTTGGGAAGGGAAGAGGCAGTGACCTTTGCATCGAAGAACTCGGGAGGCATGGAAACCCGCGACAAATATAGCCTCTCAAGGCCTTTCCTGGAATGGGGCGCTCGGCAGCCCAGGCCTTCCTCTTCAAGGGGGCCACTGTGGTGCAGTAGCAATTGTGTAGATGTGTGCAGATGGAGGACATGACCATCCATGTCTGCCTTCAACCACAAAAATAGGGGGGGGGAATAATCTGGCATTTCAGTAGAAAATCCGACATTCTCTTCCAAGTTAGCACAATATCAATGGACTGGTTTGTCCCCAAAGACCATCATGCCGAGCCTTGCAATAAGGAATCAAACCCACTCTGGTTTGGGATTATAGAGTACTGCTTCCAGTTTTGGTCCCCACACTATAAAAAAGAGGTTGAGACTCTAGAAAGAGTGCAGAGAAGAGCAACCAGGA